TCCAATCATATATATTCTTGATCTGGTCTACATGATAGTAAAATGATAAAAAATAAAAAACGTATGTCTGAAAGGGGAATTTAATAGGCACCCGGAAATTATATGTTCCTTTTTGTTAGTTTGTGATAATCGTAAGGATAGCTAAATCTTCGATTGCTAAATTTCAATTTTTTTTTATTCATAATGAGGAGTCTCTTCTTATTCGTATACAGGCAGTTCTTCTATAGCCGCATTTAAAAAACAAATATTTGTCAACTATTCTAGTTTTTTTTATTTAATATATCATATCCTACATGTATATGTGTGTGCCAGAAAATGGGTCAGCTGTGCATATATATGTACATATATCTTTTCACCTCCCATGAGAAAGCAATGAGCCAGAAGCTAGGAACAACAGCTGACGCTGACGCAAAAATCTACTTTGAATCCCAATCCCTAGCTGGATATAATTACGGCTCATTAGCTGCCGCGGTGCAGTTTTGCATTTAATGCATATTCAAAATGGTTAGCATGTGGAAAATGACAAGGGGAAAGTGAACAGCATCAGCCCCACAATGTGTAGCTTCATATGAAGCCTTTGTAACCGCATGCATCGGAGTCCGGTTTTGACTTGCCGCAAATTAGAGGGAAAAGCCACACTAGGAAAAATAGGACAACACCCAGGGTGGGGCATTAACAACTTTTCCCAAAAGTGCGAAATTTCTTTGAAGCAGACGACGCACTGGCGACGTTTTTTTTCACAAAAGCTTTTGGTTGAGGTCAGGACTGGGCGTGGCTACGCCCCTGAGAGACCGAACGCACGCGGCAGCGGCAAACATGTTGGCATGCAAAAAAAAAACGGCTGCGTGTGCCCAAACAGAAACCCAACGGGTCGGCATTTTGATCTATTCCGCAAACAATTGCCTGTAATTAATTTGTTTGAGCCAACCCACGGCAAGAAAAATGATAGGTAAACGTGCGAAAGTCGGCTCCAAGCGGGCCATTCTGTCTTTTAGTCGGACGGACAATTGTCAAGTCAAACTATTTGGCTGAGCTCACATGACCCAAATACCTGCTAATTGATCGCATGCAAAACCATAAAATTATTCTTAATGTCGGATAATTATCTCGCAAGTAAAGTGCTCTTAAACACTATAATCTTTGATAAAACAGTGTCGAGCTAAATTAATTTATAATATTATATATATATATTATAAATATTATATTTATAAGGCAAAGGATCAAAATATCGAATGCTGTTATACCCTTTGATAGGTTTTTTGATGCGATAATCTTAAATAAATCTGAATTATCTTGCGCCTGACGAAGCTAAAACAAAAGGTTTAATATGTCTAAAAAGAACCCACATTTTTTAGTTGGTCTATTGAAAAGTGCTCGACTATGAGAAGAGAATACTTTGGTACCCAGCTGCGAACATAATTATATTATGACGGAACCAGCATTAAACAGCTTAAATATACTAGCTAGTATCTATATTTAGTCCTTGATTAGGCATTTTGCAGCTGATATAGCCATGTCCATTGATCTGTCTATTTGCAACTATTTTTGCTATCTTTTATGGGACATGTTCAAGCCATGTCTCTCGAAAGGATTCATTGCTGCCAACAAGTTAGAAAACAGAGTTTTCTGGTTTTTCAATGCGCTTAGTTTATGTTATATTGATAATACATGTTTCACAAAAGCTCTATTACAACCAACCAGAGCCAGCAGGTGGCTTACCAACCGTATTAGCACTCAGCCAAGGCCCCAGGCCAAGAGCCTCCAGGTTTGTCACATGATTGGTGCCAGCCGTAATGGGCGAGAGAGCAGCATCTTTGATAATCGTTAGGTGGTGAGCGGCACCTGCGTTGCCGTTGCGCGTAAATTGGCCAAACTTTGCCGCCTCGTATTCCGTCTTTTGGATCTCGGCGGCGGCCGCGTGCGCCGACCGCTGCAGCGCCGAAGCCGCCTCAGCCTCGCGAGCAGCGGCAATGCGCTGCTGATAAGCGACCGCTGCCTTGGATGCGGCCAGCCGCTGCTGGGCCAGAACCACAGCCGAGGCTGCCGATGCCGCTTCGGAGCGTTGTATGGCCGCAGCTGCCTCCGACTTTTGCGTGAGTATCGCGGCATGGGTCTCCTTTTCCATGGCGATGCGCTGCTGGTTCAGCACGTTCTCCTTTGCCGCCTGCATTTGCTGTTGGGCGATCAGCACATTGGCCGATGCCTGCTTGGCAGCCGATATGGCGTTTGCCACCTCGTTTGGCGACGGCGCAGCCCTGAGCGGACTGTGTCCACCACTCCAGCCGCCGCTGCTGCCGCCTAGGCTGGCCCAGTTGCCAGCCGCATTCCAGGCGCTGCCAAGTTGGGCGCTGCTTGTCGCCGCCCACGGCACGGAGGCATCGCCCAGGCTGCGTTTGGGCAGCGTCTTCTCGTTGGATGCAGTGCATCCGGCTGCAGCAGCCAACACAAGCAACATTAAAGGCGACATTTTTGCACCCTGTCCGTTTCGGTTGATTTTGAAATACATTTTGCTTAATTTAAACACTTCTTCGACTCTGTCTCCCACTGAGCTACTGAACTCTCCTCCCGAGGGCTTCACTATTTATAGCAGAAGCTGCTGCGCTAAGCTGCTGCTGCTTTAATCACTCACGTAGCCGTTGGCATCGGCAATTTGGGGCTCTTTCTCTATGGCAACTGACTTTACAGCTGCATCGATCATCAAAGGGAAATGAAAGGCTGCTTCCTGCTTAGACTGTAGGCAATTACTAGAGCGCAACGCCTTTCATCAATTGGTTATCGTAACCCAATTTATATTTTTCTATTATGCAATTGCCAATTCTTGGCAATGTCCACATAGGAATCACTTAAACAACAATATACCCAACGTTTATGCCAAAGACAGACACAATGTACACAAATATGCATGTGCGTGCATTCCTTTGTATTATTACGCCCACGTGTACACTCACCTGCCCACACACACACACACACACACTCGGAGGCAGGCTGCTTTTGTGCCACATTATTAATGTTATAAAAAAATAAAATTTAATTACACCGCGAGAGCCACGCAATTTACGTGTCCAAAAGGTATTACTCTTGGAAAAGTGGGCGACATCCGATACAAATTGTGCAGCTCAGCTGCCGAACATTTCGCGCCGGCCGTGCAACGATTGTAATTACCATTAATGCACGTCGCCAGTTTGGACTTTACTTTTACTCCTATTAATGAATACAAATTGAATAAGACAAGCTGATGCCACAGTCCGGAGCAGCTGTGCGAAGGTGCGAGACACAATGCTCCAAGTCTGGCCCATATTCTGTTTATAAATTTGAGAGGAAACATCAGGTAAACAAGGACAGGCAGATATTATCAGAGCGCCGGCGATTAAATACCCTTCTTTATATATACTACATACTTAATATTATTTTATATCATTCATAGAAATGCCATAGCGCAGCTGTTATGATCCGTTGAAAGATTTTTTGAATCTTGTAAATCTCGGTCTATTTAGCAACTCCTTGAAGCTATCAGATAAGCCATATTTATAGTAACAAGACATCAATGATTTCAAGCGAACTCATTTTCCTTGTTGGAGTCAAGTTTAAAATTTTCTTGAAAAAAAAAAGAGTTTTAATTGTGTTATTTACTATTTAAGCCTTTATGCACACTATTTTTCATGGAGTAGTTGACGACGTTTCTCAAAGACGACAAAACCGTCAGGACAGCGTTTTGACGGAAAAAAACAGAAATGCGATACATTGCGGCGATATCAGAAGCATATCACATTACATATTGTGCCTTTAATGGCCACCCACTGGAGGCCTTGACTGAGCCACTGCCAGCACTTATGCGAATTTATATTTGTTTTATTTCAGAGCGCAAATCTGCAGGCCAGCATGTCGCAGGCATTTCAGAGACAGTCACGAAAATCTTTGATAGGCATTTTATTGCTCACCTTCTGGGCTTTTCTGGCGCAAGGAGTTTTGGCATCGGCATACGCCGATGAGCTCCACAAGGAAAACGGTAAGTTGCAATGCAATGAACGCCAGTTCACGCTTAACCTTTTGCTCTTCAAGATTTTCCCACCTTGGCCAAGCGACCCGCATTCTTTGTGGGCAGCCGTTATGGACGTTCTAGCGGAAATAGCGGTGCCGGCGGAAATGGCGCCGCCTCTAACGGAATGGGAACCTCAAAGACGCGACGCCTAATCATAGTGCCTCGGAATGATCGGTTTTTCCTAGGCTCACGATATGGCAAGCGCAGCGACGAATACCTGTCGCCATACGAGCAGAACAGTCTGGGCTTGGGCCTAGGCAAAGGCTCCTTGCGGGAAGCCGAGCCGAGGTCCGTCGAGTCCGACGAGAAGCCTAGCAGCATAGCAAGAACCTCGCCCATCATGACGATGACCATGTCGTGCGTTTACACGGGCATCAGCAACTTCTACAGGTGCAGCAATGTCAACACGTAAGTCCTGCTCCACATGCTTTGCATCCTGTCTTTTAACGAGCATTTCCGCCTTCTGCTTAACCCTGCACAGTGAGGAGCTCAACAACATGGTGGGCCGCAGCGATGGCGTGACATTGGACTCCAATAGCATAGCCTCGGAGGATGCGAACACCAACATTAAGTAAGACGCCAGAGCACGGATTGATGACCAACCTGCGGTGGCGGATCATTTCCCCTTGACAGTTAATATCCTTGTTATCCCTTGGCTTTCAGCTACTCATGTAGCGTATCTTATGTTCATAAAGAAGCAGCTGGTATTAAAATTTTTAACGGGGCTGGAAAAGTTTTAATACCCAAAAATAAATCTGTAAATAAATATACATACAATAAATACATACATACATATATATGCATACATCTGTATCAAATAACATACTTAGGTAATACAATTACTTATCATACATAAGCCAATTGTATCAAAAACGCTTACCGAGTATCCCTTGCGCTTCAGTGAGTATAAAGGATCCTTTAGCTTCGCAATGCTAGTTCCATATTAATACAAACTTACATATGCACAAAATTCAGGCATGTATTACCTATTCGCTCGTACAATTGTAAACGTTAAATAAATGCAAGAAAATATATACTTAATTACTAAAAGGTGTTTTTTTTTTTTAATTGCGTTAAGTTTTCATTGCAAATATTCAATCCTTGACTTCTCAAAATATTAAGTTCCTTGAAATGGATGGGTTTTTGAAGGATGATTTAAAGTAGCTTTAGCACTTCATATCGATACAAGTTTTGAATACAATTAGAAATGAAGACACTTTCAGCTCTCTAATATTTTTTTTTATCAATGGAGGCCATGGTTAAATTCCTAACTACAAACAATTATAGTATTCTTTAATGTAGGTGGGCTCAGAGGACAATATATTCCCCTTAATAAAACAATTTCCTTTGCGCTAATGCATTTGTGTTGCGTATATGTTTCTCTGCGGCCCGATACACTTGCTTCCACCTAAACATACATATGTATATACACATAGGTACTACAAGAAATTTAATTAACATAGCAAGGCCCATACTGATACAAGTAATGAGCAAAAAGCAAAGAGCACTTACTCGTAAAATGGTTTCTTGAACAGAAAATGCGAAATGAAAAAAATGCTGTAAGTCGTCGTTACAGAAAGTTTCTCTTAGCTGGCATTGATTTTAATTGATGGCAACGGATAGCGGTATACGGCTGAGTCCCCGCGCGGAGTGGAGTCCACATGCCAAGCCCAGCATAAAGTCTAAACAGCTTTTTAAGCTAGTGGCGAAGTGCTTGCTAATTGCATTAAGCGGCACGGGCAACAATGTCATCCGGATCCACCACACGAGCGTTTCTTGGGCCGCCCGCATCACAACTTTTCGGCAATCAGGACACGACAACGCGGCGATACTTTCTCATCAAACAGTTTTTCGTAGCGCACCTCCAGGCGCAACTGCTGCGCTGCAGCCACTTCCCTGAGGTAACACAAACGGTCGTAGAGTACCACGTTCTCGCAGAGTTGCTAGACAGAGACACGTGAGTCAATTTGTAGTTTTGCGAAAGCAATTATGAATTACCTGTATGCTGGCCTGCAAACAACACAATGCCTCAGCCAGAAGGGAGCCACGACCATCGGCGTACAGTTCGGTTATTTCAGCAAAGCGAGTCTCATGAACGGACCGCCAGTCCAGTGGCTGGTCCGTTTGCCGCGACCACAACTGATATTTCTGCTGTATGTCGGCAAAGGTGAGCACATCCTGTTGGGTTGGGCCCTGGGCACGCGCCTCTTTTGTATCGTACCGCTTCACTTTCGTCAGCTCGTCGGCATCGCATAGGGCTTCCGCCAAGGCACGCACAAACATCCGACTTCCGTTCTCTGCATGCGCGCGAGCATCGCAGCGCCAACGCGAGTTGGTCTGCTGGCACGCCAACCGCATAAACGGTCGGTTGAACCAGGCGACCGCACAATCAGCTGACATAGCCTCACGAAGCACTTTGCTGAGGGGAAAGTTTATGAAAGAGCTCCTGGCAGAGCTGTCGTCCGCTGGACCTTCAGCTTCGCAGCGCAGCGCGAGCTTGTGATAACAGCAGGGCATTATATGTAGACATCGCACTTGTGGCATAGCCAAGAATAATAGCATTGCGCTTATGCTTAAGTCCGCACAGGCATGCAAGCCAATTATAGTTGTGCGCAGCGCTCTTGGCAATTCGTTGCCCGCGGCCAGCTCAGATGCGTATTGCTCGATGCGAGCACAGGAGCTGGCGTCTGCTGTGATAAATAGCTGCTGGTAGCTAATAGATTTGTGCGTCTTCTGTGGAAGCAGCTCCTGGCTGCGTTGGCGCGCCGCTTGCACTCGCTGCTCGTCTGCTTCCAGGCCAAGTATCAAATAATTATCATTTCGCTGAAGCAGCGCTTCGCTGAGGTAACCCAGCCCGGAACCCAAGTCGATTATGAATTGCGTATCTGCGCAGTGTCCATGAATGTGTGCTGCCAACTGTTCAATTTCATGAAGTTTTTTGGTTGCTATCTTGCGGTTATTGCCAGAAAAGTTCCTTGGCAACGGGGGAGCTGATAGAGCTGTTTGAGTAGGTGTCAGCTTAGCTATCTCTTCGCGGAAGCATTCCACCTCCTTGGGACACCCGTCTAAATGCTCATGTACAAATGGAAATTTGTTAAGGTGTTCATTTGATAGTCGTAGAAAGTAATCCTTGAAATTGCTAGGCATATCGTTAAGAGACTTGAGGCAGCACGTATTGGCTTCACGGTATATCCAGGAGTACTTTTGTAAAAAACCCACAGCACTTCTAAAGTATGTGTCGTCATTAGCAAAGATCGTCGGTAGAGACATGGCTGAGGAAGAATAAACCAATGCGACTAAAATGCAAGAGTTCAAAATGATAACTTCCAAATTCTAATTCTAACTTTGTAAGAGTTAATTCTTATATATTTTAAAGTTTCTTATATTATTTAAAACATTCAACACAATTTCGAATGCCCGCATTTCCCATTTAGTGGGAATAGCTGACCGGAATACTTTACTCAGTACTAATTACTAGATATATTTAAATTATTTTTATTAATTTAATCTATTTCAATAATTTACCTATTCATGAAGAAAACAGAAAGCAAATTGTTTTGTTTGTTATAAGACAATTTCCTTTAATTAGCGATAACAAGTAATCCACGTCTTTCGGTAGAAAAACAAAAACTTATATATGAAAACGTATATAAAATAGAAACAGAACAAATGTGGCTATAGGTATATACAGTCAGAATTTAAGTAGAATTCACTTAGGATATGATTTGCCACTTTAAATTAGTCTCCTGCTCTAACTTGTCGTTTGCCGGCCCTAAAATACATTTTCCAAAGTGTTTTGGTTCCTTTTTAAAGTACTTTTCGATAACATTTCGCAGTTCGTCGACGGTCACAGAAAGCACGCGCGAACGATATTTAATAAACATCTCTTGCGAGACCTCATAGAGGAAGTAATCTATGCCAATGTTTCCAGGCGCGATTGGCGAGTCCAGCTGCTGCAATACGCCCAATTTAGCTTCAAATAGTGTTTGTTGATCCAGTTTATTGCTTTCCGCTTTAAGCCACTCGTAGGTTTTATCGAATGCATCCAGAGTCTTTGTGGAATGAGGATCACGATAACTAAAGAAACAAAATATACCATCGGATCCAATTTTGGCACCTGCGCCGTACGCCCCGTTCTGTTCACGCACCACAGGCAACAAATATTTGGCCGACACGAGTTTCGCCAATACGCGTAGTACGGGGTGATCTTCATGCAAATACGGTACCGCAAAGAAAGATTTTGCGCAGTAGTTCACAGGAATATTCATAACAAAATGTTGAAAGCTGGGCTCCAACAAATGCAATTCGCTCTTGGCACTCATATTTTTAAGCGTAGGCAAGTTTTTGAGGAAGTTTTCGTAGTGTTCCAAGGCTGTTGGTTGGAACGCCTCTGAGCTATTAATGGCAACGCGCATGTTGCTTTTGCTGAAGACTTTAGAACCAATATTCCTCAATCTGTCGCGAATTTGCTCCGTGCTATTCTGCTGCACATACTTCTTCATGAAATCTATATGATCCACACCCGATAATAGGGATTTCAGCTTTGCAGCATCGCTGACCAATGCAGCGGAGCTTAACATGGCGTACAAGTGCCCCGAACTTGCGATTCCTACTGATATATTTGAAATGTAGTTTTCAATAAGCATCTTAAGGCGATCTGTATCATCTAGCCTAAAATTAAGAAGCAATTCTTCACACAATGCAAACATATCAGCAACGTTCTTGTCAAGTGCATGTGTGTTCATCATCAAGCCCAATCGATACGATTTGGCATCCTTCACATTTTCGACGAAATTCAGTTTAACGTCAATACCGGCCGTTTTTGAAAGAACCAGTTTGTCGAATTCACGGAAGTTGTGATTGGCGGTGCCCATATCGTTGATTACGTTACAGAACAAAGGTACGAGCACAACTTCGTCTCGACTTAGTCCTGTAATATTGAACAAGCACTTAAGGTAGGTTATTTCATTGGTGGGCACCTTACACAACTGCGTGGGAACGTTTTGAACAGTTTGCACTTCAATTGTTGGTATCTTTGGTGGTTCCTTAACATCGTTTAGCGATAGACACGGCAAGACATCCGTATTTTCTGTACCTTTTTGAGAAGCCTCCAGTTTAAGGCCATTCTCATATATCTCTTTGTACTTTTTGGAATCGAGTGCATTTATTTTCTGTTTTAGCATCTCAGCTTCAGCCTGCTTGAAGTTCTCCTCATAACACTCGTCCGGAGACATTGTCAGAGTCAGCTTATGTGTATTGTTTGTAAAGTATTTTTCCATTTTCTGTTGGAAATAGTTGTTATTCTCTTTAAGGCTGCATCGTAAACGGGCAATCATTTCCGAGACCCGAAGACTGCTGACAATATCACCATCATGATTCCACAAAGACGTTGAATTAAAAAGCAAGGCATTACCGAAGTGAGGACTCTGATGCTTAAGGGATAATTCTAAATTGTGCAGAACACTTTCAATATGCTGAGTTTCAAAACCACCTTCGATAGTTTTATGCACAGTCTGATCAAAAAGTACGTTAAACTTTTTGAAATCCTCAACTTTTAGGTCTTGTAAGCCCACGACGAAATATGTATCCTTGCAATCTGAGGAGTAGCCTGTACTCTGATTGTAGCCTCCAGAGAAATTTGGCTCTATTAAGCTCTTGTAGAAAGCCGAGTTGGGGCCACGAATCAATACTTCGGATAGTACGTTTAGTTCAAAACTCTCCTGAATGTCCGTTGTGTCACACATCAGCAGGGCTATAGCTATCTGATTCTGTCTGTCGAAAGTAGCACCCATACTGTCCAGTCTACTGGGAATGTGCACATTGCGTGGCTGTTGCCATGGTTTCTGTTTTGGTATGCGGCTATAGGAATTGTCTATGCATTTATGTTGACTTAGGTATTCCTTATCGACGAATGCAAGTGTCTTCATTAGGTCAAAAGAGCCATAGCAGAACATGCGTGCATTGCTTGGATGATAGTATTTTCGATGGAATTCGACCAAATCCTTATGCGTCAATTTGGGGATCTCCAGTGGGTTGCCGCCCGATACATAGCCGTAGGTGTGATCGGGAAGCATGTTGTTGAGCAAATTTTGGGTAAACACTTGAGAGTTTTCTGAAAAGGCTCCCTTCATTTCGTTATAAACAACTCCTTTGATAATAAGCTCCGAGTCGCGATTGCATAACTCCTTGTGTTCAAGTCGCCAACCTTCTTGAAGAAAATCCAAATACGCCAAATTTGGCCTGTAATATAATGGTGTTATACATTGGTACTGACAGTTTCCTTTTCGTATCACTTACCTAAAAACAGCGTCCAAATATATCTTCTGGAGATTTCTGAAATCCACCTCGTTCATGGTTGAAAATGGGTAAAGGGTGTAATCCGGGCCGGTCATGGCATTCATAAAAGTGGCAACTGATCGATTTAACATTTTAAAAAATGGATCACGAACTGGAAAGTTTTTTGAACCGCATAAAGCAAGATGCTCCAGAATATGCGGAAGGCCCGTAGAGTCAAAAGGCGTTGTCCGAAAATTAATTGAAAATACATTATTGGCATCATTACGATCGATATACCAAAACTCCGTCCCTGTGCCCACATGACGCAGGGTACACGACATTAGCTCAAAGTCGGGAATATACTCGATGCGCTCGCACTGGAACCCATGGTATATTTTGCCCTCACTATATTTGTATTTACGATCTGCCATGACATGCGGCATATCCCCTTGCAAAGCTAGTTTGGGCTCCGTCTTGGCACGCCTCCTGACCTCCTCGACAGTGAACGAATTGATATTTCGTCTGGCCAGTTGCCCATGCAGCATTCTGAGCGGGCGCGGCACCGCCTTCAACCATTGTAAGCGTGTGAGCATTTTTGTGAGTTCGAGTCTATAAATGGTAAGGACACAGTACAGGTTGCAGTTGATTTCCAGATCAAAGCATCGGGCGACATGAATTAAAAGAAAGCAGCATAAAACACGACACGAGTTTTAGTTACATCAGCCGGCACTCATTGGGTTTGTATGTATGCAAAGAACTACGTATGTGCGTATGTCTTGATTTACTTTGTGTGTACGACAAATTTACTGTTTTTAGACATAAACTGATTGAAATTCCGAATACTTATAATTTGCATTATTATACTCAATAGAGTTTGCACTTAGGGTTTTATAATTATACCAAAAAACTCACCAGTTCCGAAAATCCAATCGTTTAAAATGCAGTCGCCTGCACACTACATATGTTTTTATCGGAAGCCAACATTGTTGATTTGTATCGATATATCGATTGTTACATTTTAGTTCAACTATAAACTCGTCTGTACTAAAATATCGATTCAGCTCATTTGCTGGACTATCGCATTTGTAACGCTTTCTACAAATTTAAATTATTGAATTGAAAATTATCAAATTAAAATTAATGTACAGTACTAACAGTAAGAATAATAATTTATATATTAAAGGTTGTTTTGGCCAGATTCCAGCAATAGTAGTATGCGCCCAGCTGATTTCTTTGTTATTCATTAATTAGCGCTAGTTTGAATACCAGCTTTTTAATTTAAAATATCATAGAGACGTAAACTTATTATAGTAGCAATAAATCTTGTTTAGGATTTTAGGATTTTAATTTAGACGTATTATTTATTTAATTTATTACATCAAAAATATTTAGTTACATTTAATATATATTTACATAGCCTTTGATTCCCATCCAATTCTTCCCTTCTAGGTCCCAAAATAAATTTTCCAATATGATTTGGTTCCTCCTTAAAATACTTCTCAATTACAGTGCGAAGATCGTCGACTGTCACAGACAGAACGCGGGAGCGATATTTGCAATATTCCTCATACGACACCCCCAAAATAAAGTAATCCAAGCCAATTTCACCAGGAGCCGTTGGCCAGTCCACCAACTGCAGGACGCCCAGCTTGGCCTCGAATAACATTTGTTGATTCAGCTTCTCATTTATGGCCAGTAACCACTCGTAGGTCTTGTCGAATACATCCAAGGTTTTCGTGGAATGTGGATCACGATAGCTGTAGAAATTGAAGAGACCGTCATAGCCGATCCTTGCGCCCGTGCCATAAGCTCCGTTCTGCTCCCGCACCACAGGCATTAGATACCTGGCCGATACGAGTTTCGCCAGGACGCGTAACACGGGGTGATCCTCATGCAAATATGGCACTGCGAAGAAAGATTTCGCGCAGTAGTTCACAGGAATGTTCATAACGTAATGCCTACAACTCGGCTCGAACAACTGCAACTCCCTCTTGACACTCATGTTTTCCAGCGTAGGCAAGTTTTTGAGGAAGTTTTCGTAGTGCTCCAAGGCTGTTGGTTGAAACGCCTCTGAGCTATTAATGGCAACGCGCATGTTGCTTTTGCTGAAGGCTTTAGAGCCAATATTCCTCAATCTGTCGCGAATTTGCTCCGTGCTATTCTGCTGCACATACTTCTTCATGAAATCTATGTGATCCACACCCGATAATAGAGATTTCAGCTTTGCAGCATCGCTGACCAATGCAGCAGAGCCTAACATGGCATACAAGTGTCCAGAGAATGCAATTCCGAGTGATAATTTGGACACGTAGCTTTCTATAAGCATCTTCAGACGATCTGTATCCTCTAGTCTAAAGTTAAGCAGCAATTCGTCGCACAGTGCAAACATATTGGGAACGTTCTTGTCCAGAGCATAGGTGGTCATCAACAAACCCGTACGATAAGATTTGCCATCCTTGACATCTTCGACAACCTTAACTTTGAAGTCGAATCCGGCACTCCTCGAAAGAACCAGCTTGTCGAATTCGCGGAAGCTGTGTTTGATAGTGCCAATATTTTTAATTACGTTGCAGAACAATGGCACGAGCATAGCGTCTTCTGGACTCAATCCCGTAATATTGAACAAGCAATTAAGGTAGGTTATTTCGTTGGTGGGCACCTTGCACAGCTGCGTGGGGACATCTTGAATGAGTTGATCCGTTACTTGTGGAAATTTGAGCGGTTGCTGCACGTCCTTAAGCGACAGGCACGGCAGGACATCCGTATTTTCTTTAGCTTTTTGGGACGCTTCCAGCTTGATGCCATTCTGAAACACCGCCTCCAAATCATCCGCGTTGAGGTCCTTTACTTTTTTGACGATTAACTGCCTTTCAGCTCGTTTTAAATTCTCATCATATAATTCATCAGGAGTCATTGTCACCGTGAGCTTGTGCGGATTGTTCAGGAAATACTTTGCAACTTTCTCTTGAAAATAGTTCTTGTTCTCCTTCAAGCTGTTTCGCAATTTGCCAATCATTTCGGAAACACGCAGATTGGCCACAACATCACCCCCATGATTCCAGAGCGTCATCGAGTTATACAACAGGACGCTGCCCACATCGGCGCTCTGATGCTTTACCGAGAGTTCAAGCTTGTGCAGAACACTTTCTATGTGCTGAGGCTCGAAGCCCTCTTGTATTGTCTTCTGAACAGTTTGCTGGAATAGTTCATTGAATTTGGCAAAGTCTTCAGCCCTGAGGTCCTGCAGGCCCACAGCAAAATACGTATCTCTGCTTGTAAAGTAATAGCCCGTGTTCTTGTTGAATCCGCCAGAAAAGTTCGGCTCTATCAGACCCTTGAAGAAAGCCGCGTTCGGACCACGAATTAATAGCTCGGTCAGTACATTCAGCTCAAAGCACTCCTGTACATCGATCCTGTCGCACATCAGAAGCGCCACGCCAATTTGGTTTTGCCTGTCTATCGAGGCGCCCATGTTGTTCATTCGACAGGGAATGTGTACATGGCGCGGCTGGGACCAGCGCGGATGAAGTGGAATGCGGCTGTAGTAAGTGTCCTTGAAATCATTGTGCATAAGGTATTCCCTATTGACAAATGAAAGTGTCTGCATTAGGTCGAAGGAGCCGTAGCAGAATATGCGCGCATTGCTTGGATGATAGTATTTGCGATGGAACTCGATCAACGCGGCGTGCGTTAAATTGGGAATCTCTGGAGGATCGCCGCCAGCTACGTTCCTGTATGCGAGCTTTGGCAATAGATTGCCCATAAGGCTTTTTCGGAATACTCGCGAGTTCTCGGAAAATGTTCCCTTCATTTCATTATAAACGATACCTTTAATCATGAGCTCGGAGTTTCGATTATGCAAGTCCTTGTGCTCCAGTCGCCAGCCCTCCTGTAGAAAGTCCAAATAGAGTAGATTTGGCCTGCAATAAAGAAGCTTTGAAACTCTGATCTAGTTGTTGAGATAAGCTCTTACCTGAAAACCGAATCTAAATAGATACGCTGTATATTCCGGAAGTCGACCTCATTCCTGGAAGAGAATATATAAACCGTCAGGTCTGCTCCAGTCAGCGCATTCATATTTGTGGCAACCGATCGATTTAGCATTTTGAAGAAGGGGTCGCGCACTGGAAATGTCTTTGATCCGCACAAGGCGAGGTGCTCCAGTACATGAAACACACCCGTCGAGTCGACGGGCGGAGTGCGAAAGTTAATTGAGAATACATTATTTGTGTCATTTCGATCGATATACCAAAACTCCGTGCCCGTGCCAATGTGCCGCAGGCTGCAGGACACAAGTCCAAAGTCCGAGTTATGTTCGATGCGCTCGCACTGGAAGCCATGATAGACCATGCCCTCTTTATATTTGTAGCCTGGATCTGCTATTACCTGTGGCATTTTTGCCTTGGGCTCAACCTTGTGTAGTTCATGCTCAACTGTAAGGGACTTGATATTCCGCCTGCCCGATGAGTTGTCCAGCGCTCTTCCCAATGCCTGCGGTGCTGCATTTGAGCATCTGATACGTCTAAGCATTGCGGCAATCGAAAGCTGCAAATAAGATGAGGAATACATAAGGCATGATGACTAAAAATGCAGCCTGCAATATATACCCACACAAAGTGGAATTCAAAAATACGTAAAATTTTGATTCATAAGTCCAAAAGTATAAAATAAATAAAAATTGATTTAAGTCTACAAACTCATCGTTTTATAAAAACTTGAATATTTTCGTTTACCCTTACAGAGGGTTATATAATTTCGGCACGTCATATGTAACGTCTAGAAAGAGGCTTTACTTACCGCATAATATATATATTTGTTTGATCAGTGTCCGGATCCTAATTGATCCACATCCGAATTGATTTAGTCATTCATATCATTTACATCCATATCGAAAAAGTACAATTTCAATATATTTACAACACATAAACAAAATGCCCTTACAATTAACATGCGACTACTATAATATATAGCTTCAAGGGGATTTTTGATCACGCATCGTAATACATCGAACCCATTGAGCATTTAATATTCGGCTTTTCGAAGTTTGCCAATCGTTATATTTTCTGTTTCCTGTCAAAACTTAAAACTCTTATTTTGGAATGACAAAGTCTGATTAGAATATTGACGTTAGATGTTTGTGTACTATAATCATTTTTATCTGATTAGATAATTAAGTAAAATCATGTACGTAATAAATTTGGGTATTTGTGTATATGTAAACACATATATTTAAATAAAATTACAATTGAATGAGGAGTCGACTGAGCACGAGAGAGAATGAGAAATATGTTAATTCCAAAAAAATCTCAAGCAATGAAAAATACCTGCTTTAAATCAAATTGAAAATTGCATTTGTCAAAAGGAAACCAAAATATTAAAGAGTTTTAGCTGGAACTGATATGTTTATAAATACTATAGAGCGAGAGACAGATCAAATTCCACTCGCACATATAAAGTTTGAGCTAGTCAATAAATGTAAGAAAACATAACTTAATAATTAGCTGTGAATGCTTAGTTTATTTGTATTATGCTCGAAATCCAATCGAGTAGCTTTATGCTGCAGTCATAAATGTCGCAACTGTTTGATTGCGAGCTCATCTTCTCGGCCAGTATGTAGTCGTAGGCCTCCGCAGCGTTCCCATTTAGCGTCGTGGAGGGGCTGTCAATGCATTAAATAAATAATATTTAAATAAATCAATTATAATGGGGTCCCCACTTACCCAAGCACCAGATGCAGTAGCTCTTGGACGACACTAAAGTGTTTCGAAAAGCGTATTGCATTCGCCTCGCATATAGCCTGTAGCATGCATTCATGGCCGTTGTATCCGTAGCTGCGATTCACATAACAATGGAAGCTTGTCATCAAATAAATTAGGAATCAAGTAAATACATAGCTCACCCGTTCAACATGTGCTCAATGTACGCATAAATTTGCCAGCGCAACTGGGTGGGATTCCTTTGAATTTGACGTATCTCAGCCTCGTCGATGCCGGCGTTTAAGGACACTTTAGTATGTTTGTATTCCGGAAGAAATGGGTTTTGTCGGTACACGGACGCATTGTATGGCAGGAAAAATTCCGCTTTTAGCACGTGACCGACGGTCAGTGATTCATAGGACAGATCAGCCGGAATACCAATGCCGGCAATAAACTAGAAGTTAATGGGGCTCTATTAAACGTCAGACTAGTAAATTGATTTATTTACCTGATGTCTTGTCGGAGCTTGACGCGGAAAAATGAGGAAACGTTTTGCCCGGATTCGCTGTTCTCCTAGCTGTACAGGCAATATTAGGCACAGACCCAACAGAGAAATGTACCACACAGCGCGGCTCATCTCGGCAGACTAAGTGCAACTGGCGGAAGTCTTGTGGCTGCAACCACTTTGGTTTGGTTGCCCCGACCAATTAACAGTCCACTGTGAGAATTCATATCAAAATCTTTTTGTGCCAACAATCTGCGAACCTATTTAGGTACATTCAACTGAGCCAATTGGCACTTTGAGCGGCTTTTCACAAATTTGCAGACCTTTATGCTCAAAGCTATAAAAAGCAGTGTAGACTGTATCACAAACACATATTAGCACACAGCCGGGGTTATCCTTTATTAAACCATTCGGGGCACACACCTCAGGGTCATGGGTTTACCCAAGCAGCAGTCATGTAATGCTCACAAAGTTCCTTGGAATTTTCACCATGGTACCAGGGCACAAATAGGGCACTAGTAGCGAACTGAATCGATTTCAGAGATTATAAGAACTAGCTGCAATTTGACTGATTTGATTGATTTGATTTTGATAGCAAATGATGGCCAATAGGAATTTGGTTACTAGTTTTTGAAAAGGAGTTTAAAAATTTTCGTCATCTCAATTGCACAATTTTATTCGGCCTTTCCTGTTCAATATTATGGATACAGGTTAAAGTTTTTTTTTGTCTGGCATATTTAAAAAACTATTGTGTCGAAAGGTATTATGGTTTATGTAATTTTTATATATTCATGACTTAATAAGTACGCAGCATTTAATTAACTTATATTAAATTATGAACATAAACTAATTAATATCGGTTGCATTGAGAAACACCCAGTGAAATATGCAAAAGGCATGCAGTATTTATTGGTATAAGGGTAATTATAATTTCGTAGATTATTTCGTAAGATTTACATAAAAAAGTGTAAATAAATGATACGATAAGGATTAAAATGCTTAACGACCTTGTTTGATGAAAATGTTACATTCATTTTGCTTGGAAGGCTGGGAATACTTAGAATACTTGGGGCGGTCCATATAAGCGTAGTTACGAATACGAAATTAAATTAAATAGTTACATAAGATTAAAAACTTACTAAAGCATACTTAAAATCAAAATAAAATTATAGATACGTAATTTCAAAAGCTGCATGTAAGTGGAAACACAAATTAAATTTACATCTGTACCGACGCCTTAAATTAGAAATTTAATTTTACTTGTGCTTGTGAAACTCCTCCATACAGAGTTTACAGCTCCAGGAGCCCTCGGGCGGCGTTACCAATGGTGGCGACAAACAATACATATGGTAACCGCGATCACAGTCGTCGCAGAAAAGCAGCTGGTCGTCGTTATCGGAGGTGCCACAAATAGAACAATATTTACATTCGATGCACTGCCAGCGGTAGCGCTTAACCGATATTATCATGTTGGGCGTAAACTGTAGACACGATGGATGGCCAGAGCGGCCGCAGTCGGAGCAAGATACTAGCTCTTCGGGCATGTTGGTTTTCTTGTTTTCACGCTGATCGCCCAAACAGAAGTCGCAGTACGGGGAAGGTTGCGCAACTTCACGCTCCGCCCTTAACTTGTTCTTTTTGGGACTTGCCAATGGATTAGCTGGCGGCGCAGTTACAGTTGTGAATACAGTTGGATTAGCAGTTGGTGTTGTCGACATGCTCATGTTAGCCATTGTGGCCAAAGGGATTGAATCATTTGAAGCACCTGCATCATTCAGTGCAGACTTATCGTATGATGTAGCAAGCGTTGCCGTCATGACCAGAGCCGATTGTGAGGTTTCATCGATAATGGGAATGGGTGATGCTGAGTTAGAGTGCGTTGCGTAAAGGCCCGTAGCTGCTGCTGCGGCCGCAGTGCTTGCGGCGTGTGCAACAGCCGCAGCAGCTGCTGCAGCTGCAGCAGAAGTGTTGGCATTATTGCCAGCGGCGCGCCTTCTTCGATCCGGAGTATCGCCTTCAGGTGCATTTCGACGACGATTGCCTGCGATGCAATAGTGGTAAACAAGTGAGCGTTTAAATTTGCACTGGCAAATAATCAGACCACACATGTCTCTTACCGCCACCCTTACGTCCCCGTTTCGGAGTACCATCCACAGTTGCATTTGAACGCCGGGGTCGTGAGCCGCGCTTGCGTTTTCCTCTACTACTGTAGGACTCGTCGAAATCGTTGTCGGAGTCAAAGTCGTCCTCGTAGTCATCGGCATGATGATAATGCGACGAGTCCATGTCCTCATGGAACCAATCCTTCTCGGCATTAGCATGAGAATCCTTGCTGTCATTGTCCCCCGAAGCGCCCATTGAATTGCCATCTGTGGCCACAATAGCTAAAAAAAAAAAAAAACACACACACAAATAAACGTATATTTAACAAATGCACAAAGACACATAGAATTGCTTGCCAATACACATACATACATATAAATATATAAAATATAAATCAGCCCCCAATACGCTATGTACACAAATATGTTAGAGGCATTTTCTATGGGGTGGCTACGCGCTGTGCAAACTCAAGCACCAACTCACACACACACACACACACACACACAAACAGACACACACGCACACAAATATAGAATATGCAGCTTCAAAAAGCCGCACATGTTTAGCTGAGCTTACATACTTATTTATATACATTGTTGTTTTTATTAAACAGTGGGCCGGCCAGGTTGAATGAATTTTAATAAAATTGATACCAATAGATAATCATATTTTTAATATGAAGTGTTTATAGTTTTGGTGATATTAAAATTTATTGCTTTTGGGATGTACGAATAATATTAGAAGCCTTTTTTAATTGCTTAAAATATTGAGCCCTTTATAAACCATAAGAACCCCGAATCGCATGCACTCTTATATCTGTGTTGATTACTTGGCGGATCTAATACCACGATGCAGAGGTGGTTGGACTGATGGCACTGAGACTGGGGCTGAACAAAGCATAAGCAATTGTAAGAGATTTATTGATTTTACTACGAGTTTTGTTAGTAGTATGTATGTGCATATGTTTGCCTTTAATTTGATGCATTTATGTGTAAATATATGTTGATACACTTGTGTTTTACCTGCACTTTCGGCCTGATGATGATCACGTGCGCTGACCGTTCCAGGACCAGAGGTCGGTACATGATGGTGCTGATGCTGGTGGGAGAGATGATGCTCCCGGTATTGGTAGGCGCGGTAGCTGTGATGTGGATTAAGTAAATATTGTCGTTTCGGTTTGCGCCAGCGGGCAGAAGGATACGTGTATATTTGGCCATGTCGGAAGCCGGGCATACGCTGCTTTCGTTTCATAAAGAGCGCGCAGTGCGTCTGTGCGACGCCTGTCTGGGGGTCGAGGAATGGCATTCGCAGCCGTCGCTCGATGCAGAGCCGCGTGTTAAAGTTCTCGCTATTCTCAAGAATTTCCTTATAAGCGGTGTCATTTAAAAAGTTCTGTATTTTTTCAAAGTTTCCAATGTTTACCACCGCGATTTCGGAAGCCATATTGTTAACGTCGGCGTCACTGTGAAAGCAACACGACGTACCCGCAATGAACCACGGCGTATTTAATAAATAAGACAAGCAAACACACACCGGATTAATGTATTTAAATAGTTTTCGGCAATCCAACCAGTATTATACACCAGAAACACACATTTTTTCTTCGGCTGCTTTCGCAAACAAGTTTTTATGCCACAAAACAAGACTGTCAAGTCCAGAGTTGTCACGTACGTGTACAGTTTTTTTTGTAAATTTCTGGCAACACCGCATCTAAATAAATGACAATTAACGATTTGGTCACACTGGCGGGGCGTGTTTTTTTGTTTTCTGACTCAATATTTGTGTATTAGTTTCTTCTCCCTAATTTATTCAATACTTTTAATTTGTTTGTTTCAAATCTAAATTAAAATAAAGCTCAAGGCATGGGCGCGTCCAATCGCAGCACACAAGTTGCCCTTGGCATATCGGCAGTCTCCTTTCTGCTTTTTGTTATTGCGTTTGCTACGCCCTACTGGCTGGTCACTGATGGCCGTCTTCAGAATCCACGCTTCACGAACTTGGGTCTGTGGGAGGTGTGCTTTAACCAATTCCAGGACATTCATCGGTTCTACGACACCAGGTTCACCGGCTGTATGTGGGTCTTCGAGGAGGAGTACTACATAATACACGACTTCCTGCTGCCAGGCTTCTATATAGCCGTTCAGCTCTTTGCAACGCTGTGCTTTGTGATGTGCTTGCTGGCCCTGCCGCTGACGTTGTCCTTTTTGCGTACGTCCCGCGATGACGACCGCTATGTGGTGCTGCTTCTCACGATTGGCACCTGCCAAGTGCTTGGCTCCATTTTCGGCTTCATCGCAGTGGTTATATTCGGGGCCAAGGGTGACTCCCGCGACTGGATGCCCGGTTGGCAAAACAACGATATGGGCTGGTCCTTTGCCCTTGCCGTGGTCGGCGCTGTAATGCTGTTACCTGCAGGCATTCTCTACATGGTAGAAGCACGCCGAGAACGCTACAAGCGACTTAACGAAATCAGCAACCGCGAAGTGAGCGAGTACGGCGATGATTATTACCAAAGCCAGGCTGCAGCCGCGTCGTCGTCGGTGCCAGCACAACCCTCGTATTTCGCGCCTGAGCCTAGTCGCCCGCGCCGCCCACAGCCAGGACGACTGCCAACAGCACCTCCCCAGGGTAGCATCCAAACGGACATATAAGCTGATCCGCGAGAAATGAGAGTGTGGTCATCTACGTACACATCCATAAATGAGGCCTTCGCCGTGCCTTCGAGCGAATATTATAACATATCCGTCCAATTGTCGTCTTTAGATTAAGTCCGAATTAGACTCGAATATAAAACACCCTTTTATCATTCCACATTTTATACAAACTTTTATATTTACCTGCTTGCATGCATGTATTTATTTAAATAAACTACTTTTACACAGACTCAAATCATTATATATAACAAAATATACACTTCCATACCACAAAATATGCATCAAATATATCTTTATATACTTGTACCGACATATATTTGGATAAACTGTGTTTTAACATGTGTTTGACTAGTGGATGCTTAGGATCAGATTAAGGCGCCCTGGTTTTAAACAAACAATTATCATTATACACATGCAAAGCTTCCCAATATCATGAACATTCACCATATAGCAATTTGATCTTGCGGTTTAAACATTAATTGAAATTACAAAAAGTTTTACGGCTAATTAAACCTGTACTTAGATTAAAATTTCGATGGAAATTGACTTCAGGTCAGCTCTTTAGATACAAAATTTAACCGTTGCTATTTACATTTAAATTGACCCAATTTTGTTTACTCTGTCACACAGTAAATTTTCATTAGGTACTTATACACGTACATTGAAAATTTGGGTAATTGATGCGTTAAAAATAATATATTGACTAGAATTTAAACATTATCCTTATCCTGGTCAAACGGCATTAACAGAAGACTGTTTTATCCAACGCTGAGCATTATCATCCTCACTTTTCCGTTGAAGTACCAGAAAGAGCTCACGTTGTTGTCCCTCCTCGGAAAGTTGTTCCCGTAGGAATTGAAGCATGTCCGCCTCGTTTCCAAGAAGTTCCGGCTGTTGCAACTTGGAGTCCAAGTTGTAGTAAAGGTCATCGATGCGACGCACAGCTATCCAATGCCGTCTCCGCAAAGGCAGTGTTATAATTCCGAATTTATAATCAGATGGAATGTTCAGTATAAAGCCAACAATGGAATCCAAGTCAATTATCGAAGGGTCTCTGCGTGGTATTAGAAATTAGAGATGTTGGCCAAGTCGTCAGATCCTGGACTAGTACTCACTTTCTCTTATCAAACCAAATTGCTTCGCAGTTTCGCCTCTGCAACGCGGTCATAATGACATTGATATCGTAGTTTCCAAGTCCCAGCACAGAACGGTGTGGATTTATCCAAACATTTGGGCTCAGATTGCAGCAAATATCGTCCAATTCTTCCTTAGTGTAGGATTGATCACCTTGGAAGAGATTGTTGAGTGCGTGTAAGGCACATAGTTGCCTCGTTTGCTTTTCGTGGTAAACAGGTGATGTTGGCATAGATATTTTTGTTAATCGCAGTTTATTATATTCAGTTAGTTAGTTTTTACTTTGTTGTTGTCAATATGTTTAATTGTGTATGTCTGTGTATTGTACACACATACTTGCACGTGCTAAAAGTTTACACGATACGACAATCAATCTAATTTTCTGGTTCAATTAAGTTAACAAATTAAAGTTCTTAATCATAAGAGTTATTGTAAAACAATTTTACCTAAATTTATTATAAGCCTATTTCATTTTACTTATAATCGCAATTAGTTAAATATTTTGTTAGTATTTTTAGTATCTGTAGCAACCCTTAGCATATTAAAGAAACTCACACTTGGTCACACTCAACTCACCACAAACTGTCACATGATTTTCACCTGACATTTGCTAGCTTCTGCGAAAAAATCTATCGACGAGAATTCCAATTTAAAAGGAACATATTTACACCACCGTCGAGCAGCGTTTAACGAAGCTAGCAAAATGAAAATTTGTGGTCCGAAATGCTCCCTCTGCGGATTGATTATCTCCGTTTGGGGCATTGTGCAGTTGGTAAGTATGGCGACTGCTGATTTTGGTTTGTTTTGTGGGGGTCATACGGGACAGTCACAAGATCTAAACTGACAAATGCGTAAGTCATTTTGATATCCAAATGTTTTATATTTTTAGGTGCTGATGGGATTGTTCTTTTACATACACAGTGTGGCTTTAATTGAGGATTTGCCACTCGAGGAAGAGTACAAAACCTTAGATGCGTTCTATACAGCTGCGAATAGTGCATACAATCAGGTTGGTTTCTCAATTTCAGTCCTGTCTTAGCATGCGCGTATCATTTGTCACATAACACCAACAAACAATATATATATATATATTTCCTTGAAGAATGGAGATAATGAGTGTAGATAAATATGCATGTAATGTCCTTATCTGCATTTGGTGGAATTCGAATTCGTCAAAATGGATAAGTGTAACTTGTTTTTGAGCAAATATGTGTAAACTTCCGCCTCAATAGCCGAGTCGATCTAATCGTGTCAGTCTGTATGAAAGCATTATAAATAGCCCAAAGTGTGCAGTTAAGAAATGAGATGCAGCTTGGAGTGTGCATAAGTGTGTGTTTTTGTGCATGTAAAAGAATCAGGGTAACCTCTAGCCGGGAACTCACGGTTGGAGCATTCTTGTAATAGCTTGGACGAAAAGAGTATATTAAAAGGAGGATGAATGCGATTCCGACCACAGAAAGTGAATTTATTCCTGTGAAGGCAACGCGCTAATCCGAATTACTAATCCGTTCATCCGTATGAACGCGTCGATCTCAGAAAGTACAAAAGCTATAGAATTGATTTTTAAGACTTGTTTCTTAAGCTTATAAGATATAGCTGCACACAAATTATTATGTACTCTTTTGAAAAGTCTTCACAAATTAGGAGTAATTAAGTTATTAAATAATATTCATATTCGAGACAATCAGGAATACATTGTTTTTGCTTGTTTTTAATTGCTCTAACTGGGTTTTTTTTTCCTTTTCAGAATGCCTATAACTGCTGGATTGCGGCGTGCATTTACGTGCTGACTCTGTTGCTCTCTGCGCAGCAATTCTACATGAATAGCAGAGTAACTGCCAACTAAAATCTGTGCTTCAACTTCAAAATGCATCCATTAAAAAAAATTATTTGTGCTATCGTCGCTGATTGCATCTAACCACAATTAGTATTGAAATGTTTATTTAAAGTTGAAGAAATTTGTTTATTTACTGTATAATATCCCCAAAGTTTTGTTGCTAAAGTTTAAATTGCATTGAATATGATAATGTTTAAGTAAAATGTATGTATAAATATGTACGTAATACAATTGTTTTGTTCATGATAATCACATTCCTTCAATAGTTCAATTATTTTCTTTGTATCGGTCAAACTTGTCAAGCCAATTAAAGCAACAAGAGCAATAATTTTGTATCAACTAGATCTGCCTTCACTAATGACCATCTCAGAGTTAATTTATACCTAAATTGTACGTCAGTTAAATCAAGTGTATAAAGGTTTTCCGTAAGCAATGCCAATGAGTGAATCAAGTTGTCACTGGCATCGTATTCCTGGGGTGGTTACTCAACATCTTAATTTCGTTCAAATTGTAAAATCTACGAAATAAATATATATTGAACTAAACTTAATAACTTGCCTATTTACATATGATGTTCCCAAGTTAAAAGTACTTGGATAATCTCTATATATAAAACTGTTCGTCCTGACTGACTGATTTGTGATCGAAGCAAACCATAAGAGCTAGGTAGCTTAAATATTCACTGCATTTACCTTATGTGACAAAGATGCACGTTAATATAGGGTGTCGGGAAATTCCAGCCATGTGTATGAAGCTGATTGGCCTCAAACTTATTTACACATATTTATATATACATATACGCAGCATACACACAGACATATATTTATGCATGCGTATATTTATATATGTAAAAATTAATACATACAAATATATATGCGTGGTTGTATGTCCATCTGTATGTATGTACACATATATGTATGTATGTGTGTATGTTCATACGTACATATGCATGCGTATTTCCTTGTATATATGCAAACATACATATATATGTATTTTATGTGTGTTTGCATATGCATACGTATGTATGCATGTTTTTTTGTATGCAGACATGCATACGTATGCACCTACACGCGTGCATATAATCAAAGAAATATGCATACACAAGTATGTAAATACACGCATACATACATATGTATGTACATACATACATACGCACATACATCCATACATACATATATATGTACACACGTACAAACATACTTATAAATATACTTACAAAAAACAAGAACAACACTAAAAAAAAAAACACACTACTAGCTAAGCGTGAAAAACTACAGAGCCTACTTTAATTCTTGAGAATCGAGGAGGAGAGCACTTGGTAAAAATTCGTTGAATTTAAATTTGCAGCACAATAGGCTTGTTCGGCGTTTGGTATTAGAACACAAACATGCACGCATACATACACACATGAATGTGTTCATACATACATGAATGCTTACATACATACAAAAATACATACATACAAACATACATACATATATACATACATAATACTTGATAAAAATTCGTTTTATTTAAATTTGTATAAGAAAACAAACACGCAAGAAGACATATATACATAAATGCATGAGTTTTTACCAACAGTATATTGTGCAGTTTACGTCCCTTTCCGATATAATTTGTGATGAAGAGGTTTGGTAATGGAATTTGGAGCTGATCGGATGAAAAAGAAAATAGTTTTATAGAACTGTTGGTCGGACAATCCTTGGAGGTTGACTTATGAAAAACATTAAAATGAAAAGGGTTTCTTTATTTTTAGATTTAGAGCCCTATAACTTTATTCAATACATCGAAATTTGGGCATCCAATTTCAATTCAAATAAACTGCACTCTGGAATCGACATTCATCCAGTCAGCCAAGCCATCTGGTTTCTGTAACAATCGGATTCAAGGCATAATCCATCATACACATTCATTGAATCGATTCTAATTAGCAATATTAAACACCTGTCTCTGATTAATAGTGAAAATAATCAGGACTTCAAATTTAACTTGCTAGTTTATAATTTATGATATTTGGATTATTTTTACCGTTTGCCGGATCCGTTCATAGATATTACTTTACAGCACAAGTATAAGTTCTACTGATTTTCGGCTATTTAATTATTTTATTTATGTATATATTATACATAACTATGTTTGTTTTAATAATCATATATATAAATATATTTTAATTGAATGTCATATTTAAATATTAATACATTTTCAAGAAATATTCGACATGTTGTCCTTAACAATCATTGTAACAGTCCTCAAATACTAAAGAGCGCAAGTACTTCAATGCATACGTTGTGTACGTAGAATAAAGCCAGAATAAGTATACTATGGACTAGAAACTAGCAATTACATACCATATGCAATGGATTCTTAAAAATAATACATATTTGCATGTTTTAATGCTAATTATCAACAAGAAATACCTTATACTATTTTCCATATTATAATTATTTATCCACAATGTACACTTTAACCAAACCGAGGATATTTAGAAGCGATAATAATATTGAGTGTAGATTATTTGGTATTTCTGTCAGATTCAGATGAGTAAAAATGAAAATAGTAGGATTTGAAGAACAAGTTCAAATACTGTTATCTATTGGAGGCGATAGATGAAGTTTTGAAAACGTGTGTTTAGAAGAAGAGGCGTTTATTTTAGATTTATTCGCTCCTGATTGCAGCTCGATGATCGTGACGATTTTCGATTGACCGATTCCAGATATGCTCCCGGGGTCCAGCCTTCTGCATTGGTATCTGTTAATAAGTAAACATATTGTTTAATGTAATATTTCTTTCGATTATAGTTGTATACATATATGTTATGTATATCTAGCAGAGCATGCATTGGACTTGTGTTTGACAAAAAGAATTACCTAAGACGCGGACGTACCACCAGCCGGCACAGCCCACTTTCAATAGCTCGATAGCTTCGCCTTCTCGCATCGAAACTTCCGAGTGTCCCATAGCAGTATAATCAGCCAGGGCAATGAATTTACTGCCCTGAATCAAAATTTATACAATAGATTATTGTGTGTCGGTTAGTGTTAGCGTTTAGTACATAGTAAATAGATAAAGCAGGCATATTCTAATTTTATATTTTATGTTTCTGTAAGACAGCTGTGTGTTGGTAATAAACAAAGTTTAGCTTCAAGCGGCCGCAAGCATTGCTCAACGGTTTTTTAACTATAAACATTTTAGCTAGACAAACAAATTTAATGTTGAAATTAATCAAATAAAGGTTTACATACTGAGCTAAAAAAAAAAAAAACAAAATAATAATTTACTTGAATATCAAAACTAAATAAATAATCTCTAGAAATTAGAATGTCCGTGTACGTCGATTTCGAAAACTGCAAAGCGGAGATTTCTAAAGATTTGCGAACGTACTTTGCTCATACTCTTATGTCATTTCAACACCTCCCATTTTTCGAATTCTACAAATATTGGTATAAAAATATGAAAAATATGAAGCAGAGTCTCAAATCGTAGTCGGACAAACTTCTCCAAAGCGAAAGGGAAAACTAAATCCATACAACTGCCTGGCTCTTGAGCCCGAATTGCCCTTGCCTTGTTATCTGAATAACTTGGGTCACTTAGACAACCTATTTACTAATGAAACGGTAAGGCTTTATCTATCGATTTGACCTACACCCTTGTAGAGCTACATCCGGCTATACCTTGCGGTGGGTGAAGCAGGTTAATGAGTACTTAACATGCGTGCTGACTTTGTAAATGACAAATTTAGTTAATAATGCAGCTAATGGAACATTGCAGAAGGTTCCTATGGTTTAGTCACAATACTGCAGATGTTATTTCTTATAGCTCGACGATTACAAGCATCATGGGAACACAAGGAAAAGAGCGTGCAGACTAGGAAGGATCGTACCTAGCATTGTTACAGCTACAGAAAGTACTTATTATGTGAGATCCGCACCTCAGTGGTCAACGGAAACATAAAATTTGGAGTTGGATTTGCTGCTGCGCGCAAAGGTCGTGGAGGAGGATGCGCCATCGGTATTGTATGACGCCCACTGCGCCAGGAGATTCAGGAAGCGCTGTCAGGCGATCGCCGATTGGTTTGCATCATTATGATGTATAATACAGATGTACATAAAAGAATGCATGTACATATAACGCATAGACACAAGTATATATGTGATTTCGTATTATATTATTACAATATTGTTTTTGTTTCATGAAAGTAAAAGATAAACCCAAAAATATCTGATAAAACTATAATAATTTTGCAATATTGATTAAATTAATAAACAGATGGAAAATTTTTAATTATTTTCAGTGTACTGAAATGTACAGAGTTTGAAGAATATTAATTTAAAGTAGATGTTTCACGGATAATCGAAACTTTGTTTACCATTTTTAGAAACGGAAAACTAGCTTCTTTATTTCTTTGAAATTGAATAGAGAAAAGGCAGACAGACTTAGTTAAGACTTCAATGTGAACTTGAGAGTTACCAGCAGATTCGGAAAATAGCTAATGTAGTGATAAATACAAAAGTCCTTTCAAAAACATCAGAAGCATCTAATTCCGATGTTTTGTGAAAAGTTAGCATTAGCCAGAGTTTTTATTTGTTGATAAAAAACCGATGAATTCGCCGAACACCTCAATTTCTAAAGCTGTTAAGGTTTAATTACCGGCGTGCTATTATCCTCATTCACGGACATCTCGTCTTCGCTATTTGAATAATCCGAGCTCCAGCCGCATCCTTCTGGATGGTCCCTGTCACCAATACCGCTGCTGGAGTTAGCGCAGGCAGTTGCCGCTGGGCCGTTCTCTTCGCTGCTGCAGTTTGAGTTGCGGTTGGAGGACTCTGAGGAAGCGTCGCAGCTGATGTTGCGACTTGGTGTGCCCAGTATAATGTTGGGCGTGTCCCAGGATGTTGTTTGCTTAAGACCCCGATGGTTGAGGCCATATTGCTTGATTTTCTCGCCCTTCAGTTCCTCGAGCTGATTGAGCAACACCCGTTTGATCTCCGCCACCCATTTATTCTTGACATCTACCGTCGGAGCTTGCAGTGTGTGCACCTCTTGACGTCCCTGTAGCCACACCTCGAAGCGTTTGGCGTCACCCCGAACGGACTCCGTAAGACCGATTTGTGACATCTGTGAAAAGACAGTCAAACGATAGGCATAAAGGGGGCTTAAAAGGACATGCTACCCACCTTAACGTGGTGCTTAAACTGGTAGGTACTTTTGTTATGACCCGCTTTGGAGGTTTGCTTGCAGAAGAGCAGGGATTTCTGGTAGAGAAAAATGTGACGTTGCTGTGGCTTGATGCGCAGGCGTATATCTTTTTTAGACTCGGTCCACACCTGGAACGAGTCCTGCATTAGCAATTCGCCTTGCTGCGCCAGATCGGTCTGAGGATAAAAACACAAATGTATCAAATACCAAACGATCTAACATGCTTGCTTACCGGAAATCCTGTAATAGCCACTTGGTGCATTGAATCATTTACGCATTTGAGCACGATTAGCATACAGTCAAGCGCCTTCTGCAGCTCCTTAGTGCAGCTGCCGCTGTCGCTGAAGCGCAGCAGGTCCTTGAGAAGCAACTGGTACTTGGTGATCCGTTGCACAGGCTTTAGCAGATACGCGGCTAGAGGAAGCTTATGACCCAATCTCTTTTGACACTCCTGCAGGAATAGGTGAGTGTCTACAAGCGTCTCACGCAATCGCTCTGAGCGCGGTATATTCTGGCAATAAAACGAGTACAGCCGATAGAAAGTGTCCCGCTGAAAATGCATGGGTATATATGAGTACAAGGTAGATCCGATTGGGTAGATTATATCGATTTATCAACTTACCCTTTGCACGAAACAGAGCGCCACAAGCTCTGTGGTTGAAATACAGTTTTCCAGGTCCTTGAGAAAGATCTCGTTGTGAAAAGTGAAAAGCTCGTGCAGGTTGCCGAAAAGTATTTCCTCCTTGCCCTGCAGACTGGCAGGAACAAGGTGCATCAGCTCGTCCGACTGCATTTGGTCGAAGTAGCCCTACAAATGAAAATGATAGAGATATTAGGGCATAAGTATTGGAAAGTTTGTACGAATCAAGTCAAGCTGAAAGTTACATGCGAATTCTCGGGATCGTAAAAAGCATTTATTTTACTGTTTATGAACTGGGCAAATTTCTGATCCACATACTGTTCGACGCTAGGGTATCCCTGTGCCATAACAAAGTCCTTCAGAATGCGCTTATACTTGGCCATCTTGAACTTAGTGTCCCTGAACTCGGGAAGCCCTTTTGCGTCGGCGTCGCCATTAAAGCTCTCCTCGAAAAACTGGCGACAAAAGTTGAGTATCTCGTGGTATGAGCTGTTCCCATCTGATTCCGACTTCCGTAAGGCCACAGCCGTTTCTGTTTGTCGTAAACTATCAACTTTTCCACCTGGAAGAGGCAGCACATTGGGACTGTTTTGCCAGTTGGATCGACAAGAGCTGCACATTTGGGTGTCCAGCGCGGGCACCAGCTTAGGACTTTTCAGTGACTTTGGCGTCGAGAGGACCTTGGTGTTGTTCAGCGAGCCCAAAGAGCTTTGGGCTCTGGCCAACGAGGACGAAACGGACATGAGGCTTTTGGGCTCACTGTCCTCCAAATAAGCCAGTATATCCATATAGTTTTTACGCTGCAGATAGTCCTTAAACTCTGTGTCGTTCTCTATTTCGGAGTAGCTATTCGACTCCAAATAGTCCTTGACCAATCTATATTCCAGTGACTCGTCACAGCTGGACAATTCGATGAGTTCCTTGAATATGGTGCGTCGCTGATCCTTCAAGCGCTGAAGACTATCGTAGACTTTGATCGGGTGGTTTGCGGCCTCCTGCACCAGCTCACCATCGAACTTCACTCCAAGCTCTCGATCACTATTGGAGGCTTCGCGTTCTTCGCACTCTTGTAGGGTGTTGATGATCTTGATTGTTGACTTGCCGTTAAGTATATTATGAGTGGCAAAGTTGCACAAGTTTGTCCCAAATATATAGTTGCCGCCAAGATCCGCGCCAAGGGACTCAAACCGTGGACGGAAATCTGCCGGGCGATAACTTAGACCGCCACAGGATGCCTGTGAGTCAAACAGCGAGCCTTGGAACGAAAGCGGTGAGTCACGAGGCTCATTGGCATCAGACAATGGACAACTAAATCGCTTGATCAGCGAATCACCAAACTTAATATTGAATCGCCCGACAATATTACATGCCGTATTCTGTACCCGTCGCAGCCGGAATGAGCTTTCGCTACCCGGTGTCTTCGGTTTTGAAGCTTTTCGCAGATCGTAGCCCCCGTAACGCATATCTGTTGCTGTTGATTCGAGTCGAGCTACCGGATTTGGATTTGCTGTACCACCACGCGCAAGAGCCGATCGCTAAATGATTGCCAGCAGCTGGCTGGGGGCTGTAGGCCACCAGTTTAGAATCGGTTACAAATTATTTATGGAATCTTCTTAGTTCGATGCGCTGCCACTTAAAGCCTAATGGGTTTAATGCACTAATTACAAGCGGGGGCATTAAAGCGCTGCTCGAGCACCAAGAAGAACAAGCTCCAACTTCACAGATACTCTATTGGTTTCAGTTCGCTGACCACTGGGCAGCTCCAAAGACTTGCATTTCACGCTTCATGATTCTGGGCAGGCTTTTACCGTTGGTTCATGCTCTTCATCATATGTTTCACCCAATTTATCCAGCGCTATCTTTGTATCTATCCACATCTCTCTCTCTCTCTCTTCCTTTCTCGCCAAACACATTAAGTTCTAACTAAGCTATTGCAAATGCATTTCATATTTACCTTAAGAATTGAACTCATTTCGTTAACATAGATCCGCTCCGTCTCCAGCAGCTCGGACAGCACGTGACCTCGCTTCAGTTTTCTCGCCTCAGCGTCCTGGAAATGGAAAATTAATATTAACAGTAAAATAAGTCTACTTATTTTAATGAACCAAAAGCTGTAGTTGAGTGTGTTCGACTACAAAATCCCCTGTACCTCCAATCAACACTGAAGAAATTAAAGAACAGCTGTCTTTGACACGCCGAAAATTAACAACCCTTGCTTATGCTTTTCAGATATGCGCGGAGAATTTTGAAGCTCCAAAAACTGAACGCTCTTCGATATATAAATTCAATTTTCGACCGTGTCATTCAAAATATTTACTGCAAGGCTTAATGACGATGCCTTTAAAACTGAAAGGTTCGTTTGCGTCGTAGTAGTTAGTAGACAGAAGGATATATTGCCTAGGCTGTTGATACATATATATATATATATATATTATATTAATCTTTGTTTTGTCTGTTTGTCTGATGAGCACCTCCATCTTATTGCATACTTTCGATAATTACTTAACAAAACAATATTTATCGTTTTTTAGACATCAATTTGATTTGTTGACTAACCTGTTGATTCTGGATGAGTTCGCCATTATCTGGACTCGAGCCAGTGTCGCCATTTAACGAAACGCCCGAGTCAATGACACCGTCCATAGATCTGGGTCTTAACTCATGTATGCCAGTCTGCAAATATAAAGGTATACAAAATATTTATAAATAAATTGAATGAAACGCTAATTAAGGTTAGGAAATAGACGACTTTTAGGCGTATACACGTATACTTATGCCTAAGCCCGAACTTCCAAAGGGAACAGAACTCAACAGAAGACAAAAATTAAAACAGAGAGCTGCTAATAGAAGAAACAACGGTTGACATAGATCTTTGTCTGGCAGCGATTTTTTGACAAAAATCTTCAGGTTTCGACAGCTTAGCAAGCGCTGAGACTTTTCTAACTAGAGACAGCGTTTATTTAAATGTGGAAAACGGTTCTTTTTTTTTGTTTTGTTCCCAACTTGGTTGGGTTTCTGTTGCCACTTTCGCTTTGTGGCTCAGTTTGACCGCTTGCCGTTCGACTTTCATGCCTGCACGCTTTTGTGGTTTCATGTGTGCCTCCTAAACAAGAGCTAGTCGCTCTTAATGGAGCTGCTAGCTGGCTGTCTTGGGCAACACTAGTCTAATTACCTAGTTCGTAGGTAGGTAGGTAGGTTCTAAGCAGTGGGAGGCTTTAATTACTTTAGCTTCATCATCGGTGTGTATTAGATAATTGCTGCTTAGTCTTGGCGCTTTCTAAATCTGCAGCCCGATTGGCCAAGTTAGCTGCTCGCAGTCTGTTTCTGCTTTTAATTGCAGCCTCGGCTGGTTGGCCAGAATTGGCTTAGTTCTTTGGCTCGTTCATTGTTTATAACAAGGTCTACTACATGCTCTTCACTTTTCAGTTAGGTTTTCCATTTTCATTTCGATTTCGTTTACTTTCCACAAGTGTGATTAATGTGACATAGACTAGCGAGGATCTGCTCTCAAAAATGATCTTATTCACAGTTAATAGATGACACATAGAGGCTACAATAATATTGCTGGCGAGTTGCAATAATTAGTGCGTATAAAAGTATGAGTGAGAAAAATATCATTAATTAACAATGTTCCCGTAATAACATAAAAAAACTAGCGAGCCAATTGCCGAAAACAACTTTCCGTGACTTCGCATCGCGCACAAATGAAGAGGTGACAATTCGAGTGAGTTTGGAAAGCACCTGAAGGTCGAGAAGTTGGGCATTGAGATTAGCTGGGCATTCAACCGGCCCAGCTTGCTGACATCAATTTGTGTGCTTACTCGGCTCAAATCGAGGCCAATAAACACACACACACACACAGAGAGAAATCCAGTCTAAGTGTGCATAGACCGTTAGGTCATAAAGTTGGGAATTTGATTATTTTCAAAATAGTCAAATTTGTTAGAATGAGTAGCACTGTCTCCCAGATAAGATTCTTGAGCTCTTTCCACCGGGCAGTGGACGAGGCCAAATCCATTCGGCTTCGAATTGGTAGTTTGTACAAAAACAATAGAGAAAGTGAAAGGTGTTAGCGGTACATGCGGCACGCACTAAGCCATGTGATGATTTGTTTTTTTTTTTTTTGTTTATTTTTTGGTGCGCGAGAGTGAGAGTCCGCGTTCGATACCTGTAGAAGACTTACGTATTTATCCATAAGCCATGTACGTCAAAGGGGGGCAGCCGTAGCAAGCGCAAATTGTCGTTTAATGTCCGCTTATATTAGGTTTTAGTGGTCGGCAATTATTTAATTTTAACTGGCTACAAACAACGGCTCATGCTTATGCCACATAATGCCGATAGTCTGGTGTTAATGAAGCCCCCGTTCGCGCCGCCAGTGATAAACATGCAGGTATTTTTACATATCTATGGTGTCTTCGTAATTTGTTATGAAACCGCGAAATAAAAACCACAACGAGCCAAATCAAATGCTGAAGTGTTTGCATTTGTTGTTGGTACATATTTTTTGCTTTTGTTGTTATTAATGAAACGAAGCTTCCTGCCACACGCTCAAAATACTACAGTACACGCCACCTTCACCTTTGGGTCTTCGGATGTGCGACTCACGGTTAGATAATACATTTTCCAGTACAGCCCAGATACGTCTTGAATAGATGTATGAATAATGGGCATAGGCTATGCAGTTCCTAGCCTGATCTGAGTTTTGGTGTTTCGTGTCATTGAAGCATGTCGTGCAGGCGAGGGCGCATCCAAAACCCATTTCCTGCTGCAGACCGTGGATTTTTAGTTCGACTGGCACACTAATCAACCCGGACATGATCCATCAACCATGTCAAAGTCATGCATATTAACATGTTTGTTTCGAAACCCATATTCCATAGATCTACAGGTGGGTAATCATATCAAAGCCCAGAAGCTCGTCAATTAATTTGGATCATAGATATATTAAAAATTATTTAAAACATCTTAACTGAAACTGAAGGTGGTTTTTCTCAAATCGTGGCGAGTGATGTTTTTGTATATCGCCAGTTTGTTACATCGAAAATTTCTGACAAACAATAAGTTATTTAATTTGATGCAGATATGAGTATGATTTAATTGATTTATTGTTTTGCATAGTGATTTTTTTTTGGAACTCACGCTGCACGTTTAAAAGAGCGTATTTACGATCTTATTATCAGATATTACTATTTCATCCATTTCCCGCCAGTTAAAAACTAAAATTTATCAAAACTGTGGCAAGTTAAAACTGAGTTTGAAACCCAACGAATTGAGAAACAAATGCTTGAATCAAGTTGGCCAATGGTAAAGACGAAAGATTCTCAACCCTGGGGTCCCCGCTCAATTGAAATAATGGTGCAATCGTTTAGCTGTGCAATGAGGAACTCAAATCCAGGCAAGCCGTGGTGGAAGCTGTTCGCATGCTGAACATGGGAAATATGTATACAAGTGTGTAAACGAATGGAGCTGGCAGGGCGGGATGGGGAGCGGAAACCAAGAGCCGCGGCTCGAGCCACTTTGCAAAGCTTCCGCCTAATTAAAGGCTGATAATTATTGGGTCTGGAATGGCGCGGGAAGCTCAGCATTTTTGTCTCCTACCTTTCGCAGCAGCTTATTGTTACGTACAAGGAACTCGCCGCGTCGCCCCGGAACGTGATCCAATCTGGCGCCAAAGCCGCCCTCGTAGTAGGAGCAATCATCATCGTCACAGCTGGATATGCTGCAGCAGCAGCCAGCTCCGGCATCCGCTTCAATATCGTAGCATGCGTTGTTCCAAAAGACGCCGCCGATGGCATTGCAACAGTCGTTGGACAGACAGCTGGGACTTGGCGTATTCTGCTGGCCAGCGCACGAGCAGCAATCCTGCTCGGACTCGCACAACGAGCTATTGTCACGACTCGAGCCTCCGCAGCCGGACGAGGACGTCGAAGCGCCCGACGACGTCGCCTGGGCACAAGCTGAGCTATCATCGCCCGTGCTACATACAAAGATCTTGACGCTGTTGTTATTGTTGTGCTTACTGATGGGCCGCGGCACAGGGGGCAGCATCAGGGAGTCTGTCTCCATGTAATCGTCGCAGGGATCAATGCACGACTCCTGCACCCAGCTGTCGTCAATGTTAATTGTTGTGGTCGACGTCTTGGGCTCCGGCCGATGCTTCAGGCTATTCAGTTTGCGCTCCTTCTCGATGTTGCACTGCTTGACTTGAACGGCGGCGGCCGTGAGGAGTTCATTTGTCGTTGCCTTGGTAAGGTTCTTTTTAGCAAAATTCTGCACGTCGTTGGGATCGACATGGGCCTTCGGCTGCGTGATCCCAGCTGCTCTCTCATATTGCTTGTGTTTCTCGGGCAGCTGGGTCTCCAGTATCTGCACACAACTGACACACTTCTCGTCCCGCTGCAGATTCGTTTGCTTTGTCTGCTGCTCCTTGGCATCGTTCGAGGACGAAACTCCAGAGTCCGAGCAGCTTTCTAGTGAAAAGCGCTTCATGCGTTCGCCCTGCGTCACTTTGGCAATCGACATCGGATTCTGATGCAGGGGCGTGTCTTGAGCGGCTACTCTTGGGCCGCCTCTCGCCAGATGGTTGACGATGTGCAACGGCTGGCGCTTCTTGCGTATGTGGACACGCTCCAGCTTGGGCCTAAGCTGCAGGCGCGGTGACTGTTGCTCCGGCAATGGCGTCACCTTGTCTGCACTGTGGCCGCCTCCGGCCTTCTGGAACATCCACCTGGGCGCTGAGCTCGGATTGTAGGCCATGTCCTGCTGGAACAACTGCTTTACGCGACGCTGCAGCTGCGCGTTTGCCTCGCTGTTCGGAGCTGCCTCATTGGGCAGCAGCAGAGGCTTTGGTATGCGCGACCTTAGCGGCACCCGGCTCGTCGATGGCGGCAGCTTGCGGACTGGCTCGGGCTGGCGCAGGCACGCCGAGCACTCGCCGGCTGTCGAAAGTCCGTATTCGCTGGCTTCGGTTTTTGAGTATGGCTGGAGCTGGGCGTCCCTTCTTTCGATGCGGGCAATGCGATCAGCGCGGGATCTGATGCCTGCTGCTGCGCCGGAACGTGCCAAATCGCGACGCACGTCACGGTAGTTCCAGCTTTGTGACTTTTCACAGTCCGGTGTCACGGTACTAGTTTCGGTGGCGTCCGAGTTGGAGTCCGAGCACGAGCAGCCCGAACCAGAGCAACAGCAGTCCAATTCATCCGGCCGCGCTGGCTGTGCCGGCGGTTGCGGAGTTTGCTTTGCCAGCAACAGCCAGGACTCGACCGTGGGTGGTGGCAGGGCAGGCACGGACTTACGTACGCTGCTCGGCACATGCGTGACGCTGTGTAGCAGTTGCGGCGGCTGCCGGCGATAGCCCACGAAGCGTGCGGGATTGTTTAGATGGGGCGTGGGTGGTGGTTCGTTTGACTTGCGCATCATGGCCTGCTTGCACTGGTGCACATAGTTAACCTTGAGCAGCTCCATCGGGAGCAGCTCACTGGTCGACATGCGTGAGTCGATTGTGCTGTCCATACTAGGAATATCGCTGGCCGACGGCCTGCGGGTCACCGCCTGCGGCACTTTTCCAATGGGCATTTTCCTTGGACGCGTTTCGAAAGTTTCACTTTTATTTATCGATTTATCGATTTGGACAAGGTGGTCCAATTTCACATGAGTCTCTTTACAAAAACAACGCTCGACACAAAAAACCAAAAATTGCAACAGATTCGCTTTACATTTCACAAGTCACATTTCACAGTCACAGTTACTGTCACCAACATCGCCGCCCGGTTTGCCCTATTCTAATGCAAATGCAGATAGTCCATTTGCGTGGTTGGCCTTTGTGGCGACTTTATTGATCGCGTCTTTATGTGGCAATAAAAAAACGGCCAATCACGCGGCGTCTGCCTTTCGGCACTTCGTGAAACCCTTCATAGTTATGCAAATAACGGCGATGACTCTGGCACTTGTCCACTTTAACTCCCAACGCGACTCGACTTGATTCGATTTCGTTTTGGATTGCGATGCGCAACGCTGTTGCGGCTTCGAAAGATCGGCTCAAACTGTCGTGCGCACGGCTCGATTGTTGACGGCAAGCCAGCTTGGTTAGATCGGTTGCATGCAACGTGTTGCGTGCGGTTTGAATCGAACAAAATCAGCGTACGAAATCTTTTTTAAATGCCAGCCTCAGCCTCACAGTTGCCCCCCGCCTGCTTGATCTGGTTGCTACTGATGCATCTGCACACATCTCGGGCATTGACCACAACTTGCTCTCAGAACAAGAAATCTATTTATATATTTTCACACATATAAAGCTATATGTGTGTGGAAAAACTTACATGGCAGAGTTGCCAAACTGTCTTTGAGTAGCGGAAAAACGGGGCAAGATAAAAGTTAGGAGCATATTTTATACCTGTCAACACATAAAACGTTTATATTCAATTTTTAGCCAATTTGTATGGCTGGTAAGAATAACAAAACATTTCCGAGTGCAGCATCTATGAAATCATATAATATCGCAATTTTGACAAAATATATTGCTTGCAACATATATGTCTATCGAACTTGAAAATTAGTTTGATTTGAGACTGAAATGATTAATCCTGACTAGCGCAACGGAATCTTTTTTATATAATAATAAAATTATATGCTGCCATAAGCATAATTTGTTGTTTTTGAGTTTGTGTAAACATGCATACGTATATACATGCATCCACATATGAATAGATGTAGCGGATAGTTTGATGTGGTGGCCATGGATATGATTGCAAACTGGCTGCCAATAAAGAGCTTAATTTGTACGTTCGTGCTGATCCGTTTATGGATGAGAGCATGCAATAGTTGGCTTACACTACACTCGCGCATGTTGTCTTGGGCGTCACCGGCATTGAAGGCGATCGCTTGTGAAATTACGTGAAACGGAAGCTAAGCGCCCACAAAAGGATTACGCATGAGTCGAAGCAGCCGGCTGCAGTCCAAATATTACAACTAACCGACCCAAACAGTCAACCATGGCCAAACACGGGGGGTTCAATGGAAAGTGAAACGCGGCTGAAATCGGTGCAGCAAGAAATTTTTGACTTTTCATTCATTAAATTAAACAAAACGAAAAAGGAAAGAAAAGAAAAGCAAAGCAAAACAAAACCAAGCACAGCCAGAGAAATGATCTCATAACAAATAAAGTATTGCATATAAAGAAAATGTAATTCCATTAAACTGAAGCTGTGGAGCTCGCAGCTCGCAGCTCGCATCGTAAAATTAATTTATGATTTCATTGCCGGCGCAGCGGGCATTCATGGCCCAAAACAGACCCGATTCGGCCGACTCACCGTTGACATTTAAGCCCAACAACGAAAGGAAAGCCCAAACCGATGAAAGTGAAAAACCTAATGCGGCGTGCAGCTCTGAGCGTGCAATTAATCTCAACTGTGGCATAACGATGTAATATATGTTCAGTATGTACTATATGTATGTACATCCTCATAAACATGCTGCTTTATCAACATTTTTGTATAATTAAGTTAACTTTGAAAACATAATATACTATTTATAATATAATGTTGATAGGAATTTGAATATATATAAGGAGCATAGTAAAAAGAATGAAAAATTCAAAAAATTTAGCAGAGTAATATTTCTAGAGAAACTTGTCGCATATTAATATCGTCTGGAGGATCGGTAAGTCAACATGATGATTTTAATAAAATCAGATTTATAACAAAACATAATCTTAATTTTACTTAAAACCATTCTTTGTTTTTTTGAGACATAAAAATTGAATAGAAAAATAGAAGAGAAAAAATTAGATTTTAAAATTATCAAATATAGAGAATGACTAATCAGCATTTTTGGAAATTCCAATCCTCGTATTATTGAGTCGCAAATTTAAAACCCTTTTTAATTTTAGTTAAAGTCACAATAAGCGAGTATTTGCCTTGATAAGCTGTCTGTTCGTTTGCTCAAATTGACATTGGTATTACCAAATCGGGCTAAGTTCCATGGTGACCATCGTTCTTTTGTTTATTGTTATTCATGTGATGATGTTCATAATTGTTGGTTTTGTCTGTTGTTCAATGAGCAAAAAACTTAACCATATATGCACTCTGTATATAAACATACAATCAGACACTCAGTTTATATTTTAATCCCAAAATATATATATACTCTTAAGATATAGTTGTGAGCGATTGCGTAACATTGCTTATATTCTGGTCAGCTTTAATTAATATTTGTTATACCCTTGCAGAGAGAGTATTATAATTTTGTCTCGAAAAGTGTAACGCATCGAAGGAGACATCTTCGATCCCATAAAGTATATATATTCTTGATCAGTATCAACAGCCGATCTATGCGGAATATAAAATGGTTATGTCTGCAAGAGTATTAAATCTTCGGAGTGCCGTAGATAGCCCTCCTTTTTCGTTTTTGGTCTGTGAACAATTTGGCCTCAATCGAATGGTGGAGCAGAGAAAAGAGCAAAATAATATGTTCAAACAAAATAAGAAAATTGTGTCAATTTCTGTTTGACCAAAATATGATTGCTACTAAGCAAAGAAAAGTCAGCGAAAAAAAAGCTTTACAATAGAAAAGCAATCCACAAACAATGGTCTTTTGCTTTGAGGAGTTGAATAAAATCTTCTATCATTTGTCAACTTTTATCGTTCGTTTATAGTTTTATTTAAAAGTTGAAGACAAATAATAGAAGACGGATGCTTGTCTTTAAACACAAAAGTAGAATAATCTAGAAATTATTCAACTGGAATTTGAGCTAATGAAAAATGAAGTTCAATTAGCGTAAACAAATCTTGAACTATTATTATATTTTAAGTATTATTTTTATTATCATAATATTATTATTTGTATTTTATTATTATTATTATTCTTATTATATATCGTTAAGACTCAATTGTGTTTCTTTTGCAAAAGTCAAGCAAGTCGAGGAGAGCTTTACCCAAAGTCACAGTCTGATTGCGGCATGGATTGCAGGCGGGTCAGCATAAGCTTTAAATCTTAGAAAGTGGAGAGAAGAGAGTGACCCTTCGCGCCGATCCGCAGTCCGGAGCAGACTTTAAAGTCGTTTTCCCTTCGATAATATACTTTCTGACTTACGCATACTTACACGTGCTTATGTTTGTGCCTCAGTATTACCGCATTTAATTTCTCATTTAAAATCAATTAAAGTTTCTTTCTTTTCAACAACTTTCAAAACTTTGTTCGTCTTTCTATGCACTTTATGTTTTTTTTTTTTTTAATTTCCGCATTGTCTGCGAAAACGCTTCAGTTTCCCCTAATCCGAAGCTTTGCAATTGTCCTAAGTTATCAAGATCTGTAATTATGTTCGTATTTAGTATTTAATTGGACGGCAGGCCACAAATAAATACAGGGGAATACCACTGCATTGAGAAAAACTAAATAAAACTTAGAAAAATATTTTAAAAACTGCTCTTGACTCTTTAAAATCAATTTGGCATGTTAATGTTTTAAGTACATTAAAAATATATTTGTATCCGATTTAAAAATAAAATTATCTGACTTCAGCCAAGAATTGAAGGCAGCTCTGTTATGAAAGTTGTCTGAGGAATCGTATTTAAAAGCCCAAGATAAGTATTTAATTATAATTAGTTAGTAGTAATTGATGGCTATTTTTAAATTAAATATGTTACTTTAACAAAGTATAAGTTCGATTGATTTTTAGAATTGAGCTTACAGAATGTGAAGAAGCGTGTCTTTATATCGTGGACTACATAATAAAAACAATAAAAGTTCTTTGTATGTTTGTTTTTATAACCGAAATAAATTGCTTGGACTAAACTGTCCCCCTCTTAGAAAACAGTTTAGAATCGAATTGGCCAATTGCCTAATTTGCGTACATGAACAAACAGATTACCAATAAGTTTGTCTGCCAATAATAACCCTCAATGGCAATTGACAGCGTAACGAGTCAATTCAATCCAGTTGTTCCAGAGCTATAGACACCGTCAGACCCATTTGTCAGCCAGTTGGGATGTTACTTGCGGACAAGACTTGGTCGCTTCTTTTGAACATCATCAGTAAGTGTATTTTCACGCTTGTGTAACTCGCTGAGCTGAGCAGTTTTTAATATGTTTTTGCTTAGTTGAGAGATATTTGCATGGGACTACGATTTGTGTTCTGTGGCACGATGACTACGAGTTTCAGCCCCAGGACTTAGCTGTCGAGTACCCTAGCTTTATAGATATCAACATTGCCACTCTGGCCAGCAGCTTCGAGGATAATGTGGTTGATGCATCAACCAAAAGGCAGCAGCTAAAGGAGCGCGACCTCGTGTACGATGATTTGTTGCTTAAGCTCACATTATCCATTGAGATGTCACACTGCGAGGTAATCACTTTTTCAAAGGGGCATTGCAATTATGCACAAGAGTTTTTTATATTTGACAGAGTTTCCTGGTCTTTGGTGAATATATTCCCCGCTTTGTGGCCGCCTTCACACAGGCAGCCATGTATTCCATATGGCGCTCGTTACACAACAAATTCATATTTGCACATGTGGCACAGGATTTGGAGGAAGCATGCTGTCGAGACTTCTTTTTCCAGGGTAATTGGCTCGAGACTGAACGGAGCGTTTAAGGGCATAAGTACAATATTTTCAGACCAGCCCAACATACTCTTTGTGGTGCGCAGTTATGCGAATGCGACTGACTTTGAGCTCAAAACCAACAAGTATGTGGGACCCAGATCGGAACGGCCGGATCAGCTGGAGCTACTGGATCGTTACGATGCGCTGGACCAGCGATTTCAGCATAACAGTTCGCTTTTTCCTGACAAATTGAGAAACTTGCAGGGACGTGAACTGATCATCAATGGCTTTGACTACAGGCCTTACACGGTCATCAAATATGTAAGTACATTGAAATCGACACTGTTGAACTGATGGACTTTCGATCGTGCAGGGCAGTCAGAGCAATGCGCATGATATTGGAGTGCCCGACGACTCGGAACTATCTAAAGTGTACATCGATGGCACAGAGACGCGTGTAGTTCTCAGCTTTTGCGCCCAATTCAATTGTACGGTGCAGATAGACACATGTAAGTACCACGCCCACTTGATGAGGAACGACTGGTGCTAGGACCCAGCCTAAGGTAGGTGCTAATATATTTTGTATGTAGCCGACGCCTACGACTGGGGCACCATCTACCCGAACATGACGGGTGACGGATCCTTGGGCATGATTATCGAGCATAAGGTCGACATTTGTATTGGCGCAATGTACTCCTGGTACGATGACTACACCTACTTAGACCTGTCCATGTATCTGGCGCGCTCTGGCATAACGTGTCTAGTGCCTGCGCCACTGCGTCTGGCCAGCTGGTATTTGCCGTTGCAGCCGTTTCAAGGTACGCTCTGGGCGGCCGTACTGTTCTGTCTGGGCATTGAGACGCTGGGCCTGGTGCTGGCGCACAGGCGAGAGCAGGAGCTGTACGCTAACTCAGATCCAAAGGAAGGCTGGTGGCGCAGCACGAAATTCGGATTGGTCACCACCTTCAAGTTGTTCATATCGCAGTCGGGCAACAGTAATGCGCGCTCCGTAACAGTGCGCGTGCTGCTCTTTGCTTGCTTTCTCAACGACATCATCATTACGAGCATCTATGGAGGCGGTCTGGCCAGCATATTGACCATACCCAGCCTAGGGGAGGCGGCCGACACGATGCAGCGTATGCGTAGCCAAAAACTACAATGGGCAGCTAACTCACAAGCGTGGGTCTCATCGATTCGTGGCTCTGATGATGTAAGTAGCAGCTCTGCAAATTAACTGCGTCCCAATTGCTTTTGATCTTTTCCAGCCGCTAGTGCACGAGCTTCTGAGCAACTTTCACGTCTACACCGATGACCAATTACTCGACTTGGCGCAGCGGGATCGTATGGGATTCACCGTGGAGCGTCTGCCTTTCGGTATGCAGTTGCTCACTTTTTTATACACATTCCACACACCAAGTGTATTTTCCTTAGGTCACTTTGCCATTGGCGATTACCTGACCGGGCAGGCCATCGAACGCATGGTTATTATGCAGGAGGATCTGTACTATGAGTACACAGTGGCATTCGTGCCACGTCTGTGGCCACTGCTCGAGCGTTTTAATGCGCTGGTCTATCGTTGGCACTCGTCCGGGTTCGACAAGTACTGGGAGTACCGTGTGGTGGCCGACAATCTCAATGTCCAGATACAGCAGCAGGTGGAGAGCACCATGTCAGGCGGCGGTCAGGAGGATATAAATATTGAGCCAGTCACTCTGGCCATGTCCAACTTTGCCGGTATATTGTTGGTTTGGGTCCTGGGCGTTACCGTGGCTTTAATGGCATTCGTAGCCGAATTGATGGCTGCCAAGGTCAAAAGACGGCGAATCATGAGGTTCTAACAAACGTATCTGAGTAGCTGAGTATTGCGAAACCCTTTTGCGCAATGTTTTGCAATCATCGGCATCAAGAGATTTCACTTTATGTAGCTCAACACAGTTATATCTTGGGGCACTGCTGATCTAAGACAGTGTCAAGCGGCGCAATGGTTTATTTAATGGTAGTTTCACTGAGCGACGCGCCATATTCAAAGGGCCAACGCGCGACGATCTTCAGAGATGTTGCCGACCAGATGTTGCGGTAGACCCGGCGACATGCGGAAGTTTCGTGAAAGTTCTCAGACTCTGCGATTTATGCACTTAAAAAACTAAAATATATTTCTTTTACTTCACCGAGCTTTAATGGCATAGATGAGGTACGTGTTTGCAACTAAAACGATAAAAATGGGCTATCTATGGCACGCCGAAAGATTTAATACCCTTGCAGGCCAAACCTTTTCATAATGCTAATAAGACTTGGCTCGTAAACATGGTTTATACTGAGTTTGGTGAAGATATCTAGAAAAACAAAAAAGTTTTCCATATAAGAAACTTATTTTCGACCGATTGTTTCTTATGCAGCTATATGATATATTAGTCTGATCCAGTCGGTACCGACATATGTACTGCGTGGAACAGAAAGAGGGACGTATGCAAAGTTATATGACGATAGCTTTAAAATTGAGAGACTAGTTTTAGAAACAGACAGACTCGACAGCACATTTCGAGACAAAGTTATAATACTCTCTGCAAGGGTATAAAATGTGACTAGATACAGATTATGGGCTGCGTATCGGGCAGATACGTTTTAGTCACATCACACAGGAGCAATGAACTCTTGGCCTGCTCAGCATACCACCAGAGTAGCCTCCGCCACAAGTGTGAAATTTCGGCAAGGCCTGACTGCTTGAGTACCCGGCTGCCCGGTCGCCTGCATGTTCATGACCATGTCATTGTTGTGAAGTGACGACGTGTGATGGAAATTCTCGGCTTGAGAGGCGTGCACGAAACATCAAGACTGAGCGACTAATTGGCTGTGCATTTGGCTTTCGGCTCTTGGCTGACTTGATCTTGATTGGCATTCACAACGTGTTGCAGTTTGTTTTTGTTTTGAGAAATTCATCGAAAGATTTGAATTCGGATTTGCACTTGGAGCTGCCAGCACTTATAGTGAAAGTGAAATGCACTTGTATGCACATTAAAACAGAAGTTAATATATTTATCGAATAAAGCTGTAAGGCATTCGTTTTATTATTAAAATCAATTCATAGGCTGCGTCTGCTAATTTATCTATGACTTTAAGCGCTTTAAAATGTGACTCATTGTAAAGCATGCTGGACTTGGCACTCAACTATAAAAGGCAGGTGGAACTCCTCAGTTTATTCAGTGCATGGAATTGTATTATTTAGCAATCGTCTAAGCCCAAACAAATAATTGAATTCAAAAATGTTAAGGATCTGCTGCTTCATGCTGATGCTAATGCTGCTTTCGGACACGATGGGCTGGACCATCGATGATATAGTAAACCATATATGTAAGTGTATGTTCATAATAAATAGCCAGGAACTCACTAAAACTCGATTCGCAACAGCCATTTGCAGTCAACTTCCCGATTACGGACGCTGCAGTGCCCACACGCGCATGTGGTACTACAGCCGACAGCACAAGTCCTGCCTACCTTTTGACTACTCCACCTGCGGCGGCAACACGAACCGCTTCTATACGAAGTCCGAGTGCGAGCAATATTGTGTATATGTTCGTGATCGTTGAGTTCAATGAACAAGAGAATCACAAAAATCTATTTAATTTCAGTAACTAGTCCAATTCGAAGGACACTTCCCGAGCATGACCTTAGCCGAGTACCATGTCATTTACATCTAAGCAATTGGGTTATTATTATAAGTATCTAAAAATAATATATATATATGCACTCATCATATGCATATTGTATGCATATTGACGAATTCACTTCATCCAAATCAAAGAAAACCAGAGTGCTTTGTGCGAGATACCTTGTAAAATGAATTGTAATTAAACTCAGTTGAAAAAATGTTTTGTTATAATTATAAGATTATAAGCACATGGGAGAGCAATGGGTATATAATAAAAATATAAACTGGTTGGGGTTGGCGATGCGGCATTCTGTTTGGAACGGACATCATACCCTTTGTTGCCCATATGCAATGGGTAGAGTGCATAAAAAGTGCATTAAGAGCTGAGAAAATGTGACAAGTGGGTTGACTGGGCTGCGACGGCCCCGCACAAGTTCAGTGCGCTGTATGCAAATGTGTTTTTTTTTGTTTTTCACAATAATTAATAATAGTAAGTAGAAGGCAAAAGTGCAACACCCATTGAAAAGGGGGCGCATTGTGTGACAGAGCTACTTTCCGAGCTCCACTGCGGGCAGGCCGAGGTGGTGAAAAGGCCCTCGCATATTTGGAAGCCCGCAGATATTCGTGCCACAAGTTCGCCTGCTTGCCACCTGCCTGCCTGCAGCACTTACTTAACCTTACGTGCGTTGCTTTGACAATGCCAGCAATAAAAATATTTCACTTTGCACAACGCGACGCGACGCGGCGACACATTCAATTGGCGTCGTCTCATAATTGTTTAATATCTCGCATATTGTGTATGCGTTTGGGTACATGGATAGATGTTTAAACAAATGTGAAAGTGAAAGAGCGCATAGCTTATGCACGGGCCTAATAAACTGACGATTAATTATTTAATTATGGAAAAGCTTCGATTGCAACAATCACAGAAAGAGACGCAAAGGCAACTGGGAAGCCAGACGAAAGCAGGGAGATACCCCTCCATGCCCCATCATACTCCCATTTTCGGCAACATACACAGCCGAGACCGACAACTGTGTTCATCTCCTCGATGAGCGACATGCCGCATTATTGCATTCGATGTAAACTGATAAAAACAGTAAACAATTAGAAACTGTTTGCACGTAAAGACGACTTTCAATTGTTTGCTTGACTAATCGACAGGCCAAAGAGTTGCTTAATGGCCACCTGTGCAGGTGAAATCGCAGCAGCCACCTCAACACAATGCACATAGAGCAAAAACTTGGCTCCATATGCCAAAATGTTTTGCAAAGAAGCTAATGCTATACTACTTCCAAATGCCTTTCTTACCCACATGTTGATCGCAGTGCATTAAGGCCTTCCGAATACTCTCATGCCCCGCATACAAAGCTGCAAGAACGGGTCGCTGGAGCAATACAAATACTCTGTTAAAAAAACCTTAGAAAACTAAACAGTGTCAGTGCAGAATTGGAGACAATAGCTCGACTTGGACATCAATCATCTCGACAGCCGCTGCAGATCGCAGTTGCCACAGGCCGCCGCCGTCTGTCAGCCTAATTCAAATGGCAAAAACTGCATTTTAGCAGAAAGCAAAAACTTGCACCACCTTCTTCTTCTTCCAACTTGGCCACATTTGTACTCAACATGAGCCACGCATAAAAGCAGCACGTCTTCTCTGAAATATGTAGACAAAAGAGTTCCCCAAACGGCCGTCTATTTAAATCTAAAAGATTTCATAATAAACAAGCTCTTCTCTTCAGGTATTGCACGAACCTATTTCAAATAACAACGTGAATTAATCAAGAGTACTTTAAAATATATGGACGTATGAAATTTATATTGGAGGCGGGATAGCTCAATGAAATTTATGAAAATTCCTGGAATACCCTCGGCTGGAACGGAATTGTTTTATATACTTATTATAAATATCACATTTATGTACAATAGAAGTACGCTTGGCAATTGAATCTATTGAATTGAATCTTCCCCAGTCGATCTAGAGCTACATTTGCCATGAAGATTAATGATGACCAGCATTAGATTGATCGGAGGGGGTATAAATATATGTATATACATAGTTTGGCTTCTTTATGGTTTCCATTTGTATTGGTGCATTAGAAATCTGTTAGCCATGCATAGAACAGCAGGGCATTTATCTCCAGACTTCTGAATGCCAAGTGAAAAGTGGTCAAAGGAAATTGGAGGCAACGGGAATGCGCACAGTTAACAGTAATTTGAACGAGATACTTAGGAAATGCTTTGCATTTATGAAAATTACTTTTTATACTTTTTTTTTTGAATTTCAATGGGGCAATGTAAATTTGTTTTTCCTGGATCTCTCACTGCCCAGCGGAAATATTCCATTGCAACCTTTTGTGCAGCTCGTCACAAGTGCAGTTAAGATCGAATTAACAGAAAAATGACTCCATCTATGATTATGCCCGACTGCATTATTGAATATCTTTTCCGCGCTGTGTGCAACTTATATACTTCAGTGGTTGGATCGAGTAGTCCAATTAAATCAGAAGTGGACGTGAAATCAGTGCAGTTAGAAAGTGACCACTGTGAATACTTAATGCAAACTCTAATCGATATGGAACTAACAGAAAATAGCATCCGTCAGAGGAGTTAAGTTAATTTACTACTAGAAACTAAGTACTCCTCGTACTCTTGACGCTCCGAGGGTAAACACTTTGCTAATCTTTTAATGTAAATGTTTCAAAGCAGACCTAATGGTAAACGACACTCGGCATTCATCTCAATTATGCGCTGTCTGCACTAATTTGGCTCGGACCCGGCGCACAGTAGGTAATTATGAAATTTCGGAACCATTTGGACCTCATACGACTTTTGATGGGCCAGTCGCATACCCCTTGTGGTTAGTTAGCGCAGTTAGCGCAGCTTGCCCCGAGCTGTGGGTCGGCGTTGTCTCCGTGGTAATCTACGATTTGTGCGGCCAGCAAAAGTGAAACTTGTGCTTGGCATTTGTCTTATCACATGCCAGGTAAACCGTCGCGGCTTTGTCTTGCCGTAGGCTTTTGTTTGGGCTGGTTTATGGCGTCGGTGCAACAATTGGCCCCAGCCGCGGGCCTGAATCTTTTGTACAGATAAAGCAGAGCATCGTGTGAATTTCGCACAATGAACTTGAAATTTGTACAATAAATCAAAAGACAACAAGTAAGAGTGCTCTAGCAGGGTGTGCTTGGCTCTTAAATGCCCTACATTCATGTTGGCTGTACTGAAATACCCATTTGTGCTCACCTATGCATGTCTAATCCCGCCGAGTTAGTCTTTTCTCTGCAAATCCTTTTTCGTATGCCCCTTCTTTCTTAGATAAGTAGTTTAAGGCCTTGCACCAATTTCGATTATACCCTTTAGTTAAATTTATAATGGGTAAGCTCAAGCGGCGGTTCATTGTTTAATTAGGAATCATTTGCTTTGCGCGCGCATTTCAAATGCAAATAAAAACGCATCGCATATTCAGTGATTCGCTGGTTAATAAACCACTGTTGCATCGCTTCTCTTTAAGCCTCAGTTGTTTTCTATATGCTTTACCCACAAAAAAATCACCCTACTCCCTGCACAAGAGCCTAATTGAGTTGTGCATTTGTAATATATGTACCTCAAACTACAAACATATTTTTCTTGATCATAATAGAAAGAAGGTTCGTAAGACCCAAATATTAAAATGCATAAAGGAACTTAAGGATGGCAAATTTGTTCGACATATCTTATATACAAAAATAACTTTTTATATAAGAAATCAATTTTGATTTCTTAATATCTCAGTTACTAATCTTTCTAGGTTAAAATTTCACAAAAACTGGAGCAAAAAGTAACAGTATATATGTAACACAAAAATAATTCATAAAATAAATTGGTCAATAGTAAAAAGTGTAAACATAAATTTATGACTTATTTCAAAAGTTTACAATAGAAAAATATTGCTTATTTTGGGTAGCAGGCTGCAGCCTTGCCGCACATTAAAGACCAGTGCGGGTCTCTTGCGTAGTGTTATTAGAGTGGGCGGACTCGGCACGAAATAAATGGATAAAAATACTTTTGTCGACAACTGTAAATGCGCACTTACCTTATTTGGTTTACGGCGCAGCAAATGGGGCGCACCACCTGGTGGCTGCAGCGGCACGGCTGGTTCTGGAGTAACCTGCTGCACTGGACGCGGTGGTTTCAGAGCCAGTTTCTTGAGGCTCGCAATGCGCTTGTCGCACATCAAAGAAACATCATCAATACGCTGTAGAACCTGCAACACACAATTATAAGGATTATTAAAGTTAAAGCTAATTCGAATTTAAATCCATCAGATATCACTTCTATATGTGCTTGCAAGCAAAGCGAGATCAGCTAATGTTTCTTCAAATTTTAGATATTCATTTTCCACCCTGCCCACAAGTTTAATCACCAACAGTCAATCGGGGAAAACAATTTTTACATAAAGATGTAGATTGAGCGTTAAAAACGGCTTTTTATTAGTTTCTGTGTTTATGTACGCAATAATTCGTGCGACTAAACCACATTTGGAAAGTCGCGTGATCTACAAACAGCCTATCAAAGAAAAGAAAAACTTATTGACTGAATATGGAACTTTAAGCCGACTATTGTCATTTTAGTCAAATACATATTTATGCCATAAAAACGGTTTCGTTCCTAACGAGCAGATTTTCTAATATTCTTCAATGACTTTACTCTCAATTTTAGACTTTTAGCTTATTGTTCGCGTTGGGCGACATTAAATGACTCAAGTTCTTAGAGAAACGATTGCAAAGAGAAAGTGTGAAGGTGTGCCACTAGAAGTAGAGATATTAATGCCGTACAAGAAGGGCGTCAGCCGTACGGTTTTAGTCTAAGGCATTTAAAATAAGCGAGGATATCTTCCGTTCAGGCAATTCCGACTTACGCCTTTTTTGTAGCGAACTAATTTTCTAACGTAGATAATTCTTCAATGTAAACTAAAAGTAAATCAACCTGAAAAATAATACACATACATTTCACCAACTCGTATGGTATAATTACATATGGCTCTAGGTTTTATGCAAAATGATAAGGTGTGTTTCAATGTAGGAAAATTTAGCGGTACTCTCGTGTGATTTCTGCTTGCATAAAATAAAAAAGCAGGAAATAGAATAGTAATTCGCCCAGTTGAGTCACTTTGACGTACACACCGAAAGCGTACTGGTTTCTCTAAAGACGTCTGCCTCTTTCCCTTGTCCCTAAACCTAAATTTAGTATCTGTTGATCATATAGTACTCGAGATATGATCAAAAAACCCAATCTTAAAATTCCCTTTGTCTATTCCATGTAATCGGGATATGCTATGGATCACTTAAAATAATTATGATCGCCAGAGAAAATGAGAACCTACGTTTGAAAGCCTAACACCTTTAGTCTGAGATCGAAACACAAATCTTTCGTTTAAAATAGGAATCGACTGGAATTTGAAATAGAATTCGAATTAAATTTAAATTATCCAAGTGAACATATTGATCGTTCACAAATATGAAATAAACAATTCTGATTGCTGGTGAGTTTAAGTTAATATTAGTTTTTTTGCATCTAGTTATCCGTGGGTCCCATCAATAGAAGGTGCCTGGAGACTGGGATCAGCTACTCGTTTATATAAGCGTATTGTTTTCGAGGGCTTTGGGATGAGCAGGCTGCTTACCTAGCTGCATGCTTATCTATCGACAGATGCCAATTGCATAATTGAATTGCGCCTGGAGGGCAATTGGCATTTGGCGAGGTCGTGACCTATGACATTTTACATAATGGTCGCCGGCAGTTCAATTGCCACTTTCTCTTTCGCTTCCGACGCGTCGAAGTCTGCGCTGTTGTTGTCGGGCTTATTGTCAACATGACTTTGGCGCATCTTCAACACAGCCAGGCGGCAGGAGGCAGGCGGCAGGCTGCGCTCTGGCAGCTAGTGACCAGTTATGTGGGTTTCTGCGAAAGTCCATTCAACATGTGCAGCTGATCAAATAATATGTTGCAGCTGCCGATGCGCTAACCAAACAAACATTTTGTAATGTACTAAAATGTTTTTTATTTGACCCATGCTTCCATAAATCGTTGCTGGCTACTTTCAGGGTTGTCGAGTGGACTTTTAATTATTTACATAGTGGTTAAAGAAAATACTCTGTGAAATCTTCGTCAGATAAAATAAAAACAAAATATAATCTATCTTTAACCCCAATAATAGTAATAAGTAATGTAATAATGTAATGTAATTAATGTAATAAAATATATCAATATGAATTAGAAAATGCTTTTGATGAATTTATTAATGGATGGATTGATGCACAACTCACACTTGTGTGCGAAAAATTGTGCAACTTATGCAGATTTTTATTTTTTATTTTCGGAGAGTTATTTTTAAAGCCATTCTAGAATGAAGTGCCTCCGGGTACTCTGTGCTATTTGAATTGTTTGCCTAAAGTTAAGCTGGAAAAACTTCAACTTTTCTACATGTTTATTTTCATTTGGGATACAGGCAACTCTGGCTCAACTGGGAACTTACCACCGCAGCGCACGACCAGTTATCTTAGCAACTTCCATTGACCTTTGCAGGAACCGGCGCCCACGATCCTAACGACAGTGAACGAACTCGAGTTCGTGGAAAATACATACATATTATTATATGTTAAATGGATTTATGGCTTTTGACACTTGGGTATTTTAATGAAGCCAATAATCGACAATGACCAAAAACTCTCAACTCTTCATCTTGTGTTTACAAGACTTTAAACTTTAAAGGTAATAACTGATTATCATAATCATTTTTTTTTTAATTCATAATTAGTCTGGATTTTTAAGTTCGCTCCCATTTTGATCGAACCGAAATGATGAGCTATGAAAAAGGACTCGGTTACAAGTGTATAAACAGTTAAAGTAACTAGTATCTAAGGCGGCAACAAAAATGTCTACAAATTTTCAGATAACTATATCCATTTTGATATTGTAAACACAGTAAGGAAATGTGTACAAACGATCGTGTACCTTGATAGTTATGAGAATAGCCTTTATGGAAACCAACGAACGATCATATCTATGCTGAACATAATACCAAGAAAATTATAAATCTGGGCAATTACCAAAGAAGTGAAATAAGTTTTAAATACGTTAAACTGTCCGCCAAAAATGTATCAACTAATCATTTACATAAAACATATTTTAATTGAGGTGTATCTTTTCTTTCACTATTGGAAATGCAAATTCAACTGTCATCGGCTAGCGATCTGTGGCTCATTGGGAAAATTGCACAATAGGAACTCATATTTAAGTTATGATGTAACTTCGATTGAGCAACTTCATTCCATCCCCACATTAAGTGATCTAATAGCTGTCGTTTGTATAGACATATAATGAAGACAGCTTTTTTTAGATGCACTCGCAAGGATATCCAGTTCGGTAACTGGTAAAACGTGAGGAGACTGGAATGAAAGCGGTCCAGCGCACAACGCTGAACTGTGTCAAAATCATTAAACATACACAAATGCGGTTGAAGTCCAGAAAAATGTAAAAGCAATAAGAATATAGCCGCGGCATTGACCAAACGGGTCTTGCTGACCCATTTCGTGCATGGCCGCGACATCTTTTTACTGTTTGCTTAAATGAAAAAATGCCTAACCAAAAAACTGGACTTGCAGTGGGGTTACGAAAATAGGTCACTTTGTATCTTTTCGGCCTGGAGCGAGGCCGGCACACAAATTAAAATTCTTACTAGCAATTTGCTTGCTACATGCCGTGATATGCAGCTTTGAAAGATGCTATCGCAAACGGGGCAGCCCACATTTCTTGATAAGTTTGTGCTTACTAAAAATGCATCTACTATAGTGAAGTTTATTAGATAAAATAATATATGCCTTATTTAAGAATACTGATACAAGTATTGTTTTACATATTCATTACATTCCCTGTGGTTTGGAGATTCTTGCCATCGAACATTTCACGTTCGATGTTACAGTTTATGTTGCATCGCTAGTCTGTATCAAACATGTTTGAAAAAACCATGTGGAAAATGTTCGTAACGAACCAAAAGACGTTTATATAGAAATGCATTTTAACAGTTCGCTCAGTTGAATATTTGAAGGGGCTACTACTTATAATCAATTATCATATTCTCTTATCTATATTTTTACACGATATTTAATAACATTGCTAAAATTCAATAAACACATATATTTTAGGTTCCTCTGTAATTAATAAATGTAAGAAAACCATTATAAAAACAATTGGTAAGTTAAATAAGATTTTGTTAGAAGTCAAGTATAAAATATACCTGAATCTTTGAAAGCAAATAAAAGATTTCCTCCTTTACAAAAAGCCTTATATGAGTTGACCAAAACACAGCACAGAGGGGAAGGATAAGAATGTTTGCATTATAAGACCAGGAGTTTAAGAAATAAAATTTGTTTGCATTTTGTATACATTAAATGCATTTACATTCTTACTGAGAGACTCAATTCTATATGCTGCAACATCTACCATGAACATGTTTCTGATTCATCTTCGCCCACTTTGGCGTCTTCGCGACATAAACCGGTTGATTGATACCAATCGAGGCATTAAATGCACATTACGCTTGCTGCAACATCGAGAATGCCCCATTCCAATTCCAAGCGCTGTTATCTAACTGTACTCGTACACAGATAAACTGCAGAAGCAGCAACTAGTTGCAGACAGCAGAACCAGTCTTTGAATTATATCACAATCACATTGCAAGTTATCGAATCGACAACTGCGGCTAATATGGAAAGCGATGTGCGCCTTTGGGTGGACCGAATGATTGTTCCTTTAGTGAAACATATTATTGCGCCAGCTAAAGGTGCGCAGCACCTTTCGAAAATAATATCTGCCCTAACTTTTGTTTAAAAGGAAGAAACTGAGACCTTTTTTATCAGCAAGATATGTCTGATTTCCTAATATAATAACGGACCGACAATGCCGCCGTTGATACTTATCAATAGATATAATTTGAAAGAGAGTGATTTTTTTAAACATTAAACAAAAATATTTATATCAGCTTAAGGAACCAAATATAGACTTATTTTCTAATTTATTTCAAATTTTCAATCGGACAATTTTTATCACATTCAAATTTGAATGAACTTACCTGAGATACAAGTGCTTTGGTCTCTGGGGTCGTGCTATCCAGAAAGATTTTCTTGAATTCACTTGGACTAGATAATTTAAAATCTGAAGCGGATGCGATAAAAGCCTGTATTTCGTGCAGAGACTGCTCAGCTAGGTCGGCAGAGACTGAGCATTGCTCGATCCGCTGAGAGGCCAACAGCTCTACACCGTTGGCACACCATTGATTAGCCTGCAAAAGTAAGGTATGGAAACGGTAAGTAAATATTGTTAATTGAGCTGATTAAATATTCTTAAATCACCTTTTCAACTCTCTCCATAAGTTCGCTGTTCTTGGCCAGTATTTCGAGCCGTTTGCTTAGGCGCATACTGATTATGTCGCAGACGCGCTGCAGTTCGTCGCACTTGGGCTGCACAATCTCCCAAGGGTAGACGCCGCGGGAGCCGACCAGCTGTTGTCCAGCTTGTATAACCTTCTCAGCTCTCTCTATGTCTGTTTTGATTAGCTCACAAAATGTCTCCGTATCCTGAACAAGTGTCGCGACACGATCCACGCTCTCTCCAATCTCAGTCATGTCGGCCACAGTCTTTAGATGCCCATCGAAAATATTCTGCAATTAGGATCGGTAAATATGGCTGGTTCACGAACGTTCAAATTTCTATTATTGACTTACTTGCAGCTCCCGAAAGTCCTGCTCGAACATGCGCAGTAGCAGGCACTGCTCTAGGCGGTTGCGGTGTGTCCGCCAGAACTCGTCGAAACGACGCTCAGTTTCCTCCAGTTGGACCAGCAGTCTACGGTAATCGCGACAATCATCATAATGTTGGGGTTGTTTAAACTTATATTGTTGGTGATAAATAATTTGTTGACGATGTATTGGCTGCCCTGCACTGGATCTGCACACCAATATTTTGGTCGTTATCATTTACGCACATTCATATTCATTTGGTTCAGTTTTTAATATATAGAAAGTTGTCATTTCGAAAATGTGTTTGGAACATTAACGTATGGCAAAACCGAGCGCGCGACAGGGGAGACAAAAGACAAGAGACGGCAACAACTTAATGAGTGTGATGAGCGACATTTCGATGAAAGAAAATTACATCGTGATTTATTTATATTTTTTTAAAATAAATTTTTTTGTATATTAGAAATTTTGTGTGCATAGTCGAAAATTTTCTTGTGAACTGCGTCTGGGCTTTTAATTTCAATGTCAGACCAATTAAGTAAATTAATTAATTAATTAATTGTGTGTAGTATGTATTTCGAACAGCTATTAACTTATTTACTCTACCATCATGAACGCTCAAAGTTCCTTATTGCAATTTACTAACAGATATTGACGTTAAACATTCACATGCATTTTATAAATATTCTTTTAGGATTAATAGAACTTAATTTTGACCGCGTACCTCACAAATTTTTTTTCATGCAAAAGCAAAAAATGATTAGTTTAATATCATTTCTCAAATATCTTCTTTCTAAAGTTACATTTTTGGTTTAAACTATCATTCCTTATTTATATTGCTGAGACTAGTCGTTTTCAAAGGACTAATCTAGTCAAAAATTATTTGATATTTGACAATTTTCACATAAGAAAAAGCGATCTGATGATTAAGGCTGAGAAAATCAAGACCCTTAAGTCACATATTTATACCAGTTTGTTGCACTATTATAAAATAAAAAATAATTAAGAACTGTCCAGTCTAGTTTATACTAATAATAATTATCTTATTTTAAACGTAAGCCCTTTTATGTCAAAAATATCAATATAAAATACGATATTCACTTTCGAATTATTAATTCGGACATATATATCTATCTATCGACTCACACCAATTATCAATTGCCAATTTGCTACACCTACATAGACGAATTAGCAGATCTAATTGTCGCACAATTGGAATTAAAAAGAAACATAGTTATGGGCAATAATAGAACAATCGAAATACGACAGAATCATTTTTTATATAAATCATTGAACTAATATTTTCAGCATTGTTAAAAAACATTTCAAAAAACGGGAATGTCAAAAATACAATCCTTGCAGTACTTAATTTTTTAACAAAGTATAATCGATAATTAATTAAAGCCCTCTGATCATTATAAGGTCTATCGTTCTTATACCGGAATAAGAATATTTAATGTTAAGCCGTGTAATTAAACATCTCTATGATTTACAAAGAAAAACTATCATATTATATATTTATGAAATTTGCTTTAACTAGAAAGTAATAAACAGTCTGCTTAATACAAACCAATTTCGAAATAAAAAATGTGATATTAAAGCAATTATTGTATGAAAAAATGGTGAAGTGTTTGAATGAGTTTCAACTTTATGTATTACATATACATATGTACGTATGAGATAAATGAAAGTTATGTGTATAAACATGGACTGTCTTTAGAACATTTTCTTGAAATAAACGTTAATACAAAACCAGTGCAGAGCTATAAAAACCAAATAGATTTCAAGTTAGTAAAAACGTTACTTAGTTAAGTTAATACAGAAACGCGATATTCAGAAAGGAGAGGTTAAAACTTTGAGCAGAATACTCCAGATTACAATAGCAGGGCAATTCAAGAACACCAACTCTAATTAGTAAATGCGTACCTTTCAATGGCGCTGACATTGCCGGTGCGTTCGGAAAACTCCTTGAGCTCCTCATTGGATTTTATTTTGTCCAGCAGCGTCTCACCGTGTCTGGCAGCCGCCAGTATCTCATCCTAAAAAAGACGATCATGTTTGTTTTAAGACCATTATGCAATGAATCTAAAAGTAACCTTCAGTCGCGCATAGTCAACGCCCTGATCCTCTAACAATTTTTTTGTTGCCTCTACGGAATTGGGAAACTCAGTGTCATGTATGGCTTGTATAAATACATCCAATTCGGCAGAGACCTGATGCGTCAAGCTTGAAAACTTCTCGAGTGACTGCAAGCAAACGCATTATCGTTAGAAAACAAATCAAGGTTTTAATTGATATTTACTCACGATCCTTTGTTGTATCCACTCGTGATGAGAATATATTAATGTACCGCCCATATCAGGGGTTAACTGACTGATGTCAACAAATTCATGAAGATCGGACAGAGCTGAACACACTATAAGTCGAAAGCGGTATTCGTCCTTGGAAGAAAATTTCGAACTCACTTCGGATATGGCCTTCTGAAAGAGGCCCGACGGACGCAGCACATAGACCACATGTATGATACCGGGAAAGTAAATCTGCAATTCATAAAATTAAATGGTGTTTATTAGTTTTAATTGATCAATCAGTTTTAGCACTCCTACCGATATTCGCTGCAGCGTCGTCTTAACTGATGTCCATCGGTCTTTACGTCGATCAATAATCAAGTGAAAGCCCAGATCCGCATCCTGGAGGCTAAAAGTAAAAGTAATATTTATTAATTATTTATTTCCATGATTTAGTATGCTAATCTAGGGACTTTTACTTACGATGGCACTGAGCTAAGGTACAAAATGAGCTTCTGATAGTCGGCTTCTTCGATCGAATTAAAATTATTGTTGTCCGGAAAGATGATTAATGGACAACCTTCCTGAGAACGACCTCCTGTAATGATAGCATGTTGGGGATGCAACAGATCCGCCACGTCGGCTATGTTGAGCACGCCCTCGCCGCTCATGGCGGCGGCCGCTTGCGCTGGACTTATGTGCTCTAGTAGCGAGTTTATCTGCTCCGAGGGCTTCTGTGCACCAAGGGCGTCAGCGGCATAGGCTACACCCTGTGAGTTTACAGAACTAGTGGAGTTGCTGCTAATCGTAGATGTGGTATGTTGCAACAGTCCTGTGCTCCGATTGGTGTGCGCCGGCGAATTGCTAAGCGATTGAAAGATAGCCGTCTGTATGGAGGCCCCACTGCTTACCGAGATCTGAGATTCGATCATATGGTGGCTGATCAATTGCTGTTGGCGCTGCTGCGTTTGCGATGCACTCATCACAATTGCCTGAGATTCGGCTAGCGCATTTTCCACATCATGGTCTATTATCAAAGGCAAGAATAAAAGGATAAAAAGAAGATGGAATGATCATTAGTATTCAGCCAAAAATATATTAATGACGGAAACTAAATTAATTATCATCACGTTTACAAGCAACCAAAGCCAACGCTTAAGATCATTTAGTCTTGTTGACCTATTGCCTAAAGGCTTGCAGATATGTGAGAAGAATTGTCAAGCTGATAATAGCTAACATTGGTGATAATGTATATATATACTCCGATTATGGTTGCATATACCGAGGAAAGTTTAACTCTTAAATGAATAGTTGGGTAAAAATATATTGAAAAGGAAAAGTTTTTCAGACAAGAACTTCACGAGAAAAAGATCTTTACAAAAGTCCAAAAGTAAGCCCAAAATTTGTCATTCGATTACTTTTCCCATATTAATTTTCTTAAGAGCTGAACTTAATTTTATTTTTAAATATATTATTTAGAGTGTACGCAAAAGTATTCTTCTAATATTATTGGTATTAATTTCCATAAACTAAGCAATCGTTATACGGATTTATTTTTTAAATATTTGTATGTATGTATTTTGAATAACAAAGGCAAATTCATAAGAAAAAGTTCTTATTAAATAAAATGTGTATACATATCTGTACGAGCATAAACATTGAGCATTGCATAGTACATGTGCGATATGTATATACAAATGTGCATCATTCATATGAAGAAGTTATAGATGAGGCATTTCGTTTTTAGCTTTGACCCATTTTCAGCTAGACGGAACACTTGCTTCTCCAATCTATGAACATTTAGCTGTTCCGCATATTTTTATGTCTGTTTTTTAGTCGGGTGCTAAGCAGCTATGAGAAAGTTCGCTTGTCGCACGGAATCTTTGATAACAACCTAATAATAAGCAGGTGGGAATGCATCACATTGATCTAGTTATATATTTATAAATTTATTTAAGTCCACGATTTATAACAGCTATTGTCGAAAGGGCCTATTTTTAATGTGCCACGGGCAAGACCTGGCAACATTATTCTTGCTCAAAATTTTTGTGAAAATACATACATAGACAAACACACTTATTATACATACATACATACATACATACACACACACATACATACATACATACATACATACATACGTACATACATACATACGTACATACATACATACATACATACATACATACATACATACACACATACACACATACACACATACATACATACATACATACATACATACATACATACATACATACATACATACATACATACATACATACATACATACCTACATACCTACATACCTACATACCTACATACCTACATACCTACATACCTACATACCTACATACCTACATACCTACATACCTACATACCTAAATACTTACAAACATACGCCCCCTGCTCCGCCCCCTGCTCCGCCCCCTTGGTCCTCCTCCTGCTCCTCCGCCATGCTCCTCCGGCTCCTCAGCTTCCAGCGTTGAAGCCGCCTGCGACTAATTCATATGGGAAGCCTGCGAGCCTTACTTAAATTTTTGAGAATCGAGGAGGAGGGCAGCTTTAATAAACACGTCATCTTATTTAAATTTGCCACATAACAAGAAAAATTGGTCTGCTATTGGTATAGAAGACAATTTACATGCGACATACATACATACATACATACATACGCACATACACACACGCTCGCACAATCACACATACATACATGCACACACACATACATACACACATACTTACATACATAATTACATGCAAATATTTCAATCAATTTGGCATATAATTCTGGCAACATAATTCTTAGTCAACAATCATGTAAAAACAACTTGATCATATCTCATCAGCCTTGCACGAGGCTTGGCCCTCTCTTGACGGATCGGCCTCTTGATCAATTTGGCATACAAAGCTGGCAACATTATTCTTGTTATATATATTTGTATATATACCAATTGTACACTTAGCAGCAGAAGTAATCATAGAATCAATCAACTTTATGTATTTGTGTTTATGAATAAGTACGAATCTTAAAAAAAAATAAGTTTTTCATAGAATAATTTAATTTTCGACACATCTATTAAAGCTGTATTTAGCATGGTAAGCCTGTTCATGAATATGGTGTCTCCTTCAAAGCGTTACACAAACGAATATGACTTGAAGCATTCTTACTTTGGCTTTTGTTTTCTATTATTAATGTTGTCATTTGTTTAATTGTAATTGAGCACGTAACATTCACAGTAATTGGGTATACAACTACTGAACATACCATCATGAGCTCCAGTTTGCAGGTTGCCCATTGAACTTGCCACTGGAATAGCCAGCAGATAAGTACGCATACGTTTTTAGTATAAGCACTGATTACGGCACGGGCAATGTAAATATTTCACATGCGGTGTTGTCTGATTTAGTGCCATTTAATAAAAGCATGTGCAAATGATCTGCTCAATTGCACAACACAGCTGATGATATGGAAACTACGAATAAATTTGAGCCTTAACCAAACACATATGTTTTACACGGCATTGAGTAGCATCTAAGTGTTCCTCTCCTATGTTACGTATCAAGAGGGAAATAACACAATTCCACAACGAAAAGAAAATAGAATCTGGTAGTAAATGAAACGTTGCGTATGGTATTGCCACTGCGATATTCAACGAGACTCTGGCGGTGAGACTCAGCATTGTTGGCCTCGTCATCATCAGCTGCTCAGCTGCTGCCAGGCGGAGAGACCTCGAGAGAGGCAGCTGGAGAGAGAGAGAGTTTGCGTAAGAGAAAAGCACCATGAATACAGAGAAAAACCGTGATGAAGGTGATTGCTCGATGGCCAGAATCTAAATTTCCGACCAATTCTGAAAAAAAAAGAGCGCCATTGCTCAATTTTGCCGGTCGTTTCTTTTTTGCTTTCCATTGATCAAGTTGGAAATGGCGTCTGCTGCATTTCGAGTGCGAGTGCACAACACATTCGTTTGGCACCGACAAACACCTAATTGGAGCAGCGCGAAAACGAGTCAGTCAATGAACACTCAAGATCTCACATTCACACATGCACAGTACAGAAAAGTATCTGAAAGTTCTATGCGTGTTTCCCTCTCGACTGCCCACTGTCAATTGTAAATTGTAAAGCGTGTAACATCTGCCATAGAGCGCACACCTGATAAGGCCATAATGAAATATACAGAGATTCTGTTCCGCAGAGCTGTTCCAATTCTGTGGGCTTCCCGCTCCGCCAATTAACACAAAGTTGATGTTATAATAGTTGTGCTGGTCTATGTTACTCTATTTGAGTCGTAATAGGCAATTCCTGCTATCTTCGTTACATTCTACTCGTTTTTCCCATTTCATGATCACAGAGTGATAAGAATAGTCTTACGTTCTGGCTTGATATTGACATAATATGATGCAGGGAAACCCTTTCAAATACAGCTTAAATAATTATCTAAAAGGTAAAGCAAGGGTTGTGAACTTTTACTTTTACCGCTCGATATTTGACACAACATCGAATTAGCAACATTTCTGTTTTGCTAATTTCAGTGCACTTTTATGTGATTTATTTTTGGCGTTCAAAAAGACCGACACATTCAAATACATATATTTATTCGTAAGAGCGAAGACGCAAATAGATTAAAGTGGAGTACTTTCTTATTAATCTCAATCTATATGCTCAGAAGCCATGCACAAGAGTCATAAGATATCTCTGCATTACGTTTGTATTTTCTTATTATTATTATTAGGATATCGCCCACTTTTAATATAATCGATTAATATACGTAATAAAGGTAGAGTCTCTCCCTTCAGTAATAAACAATTTTCATATAGGTCGGACTATAAACACCGAAGGTTATCAAGTATGCATTTCTTATGAAGGCAAAGTCAAGTGCGGAAAAAAGAAAGCTAGTATGTTTGTAATGGGAGGTATCTTCAAGTCGGGCACTTTCGACAAAAGCGCTCCTTTTTTCTTGTTGTAAGTTTGAAAGATGTTAAATCGCGATAAGAATTGGAAATGCTACTTAAGCTTTTTAATATTTGTATCATTAAATCAGAATGAAAAAACTTCTACAAAACGATAGTATTTGGGGTTTCTTCTTATTAATGTGCGATTTTTATAAGACTGCAAGGATCTTTATCTACGTCACTCTAAAAATGCCCGATTTTTTGCTTGTTTTTAAATAACTTGAAACAGTCAAAAATGATTTTTTATTATACTGTTTATAATTGTATCATGATTTTTAAATGCAGCCTAATCCGCTATGGGACATACGGGCGGCCCTTATTTTACCCAGAACCCATAAAAATGGGCAAATAGGGAAAAATTATTTGTTTAGTCTTCGACTCCATAAAATATGCATATTCTTAGTCATCATGAATAACCTAGTCGATGTAGAACGCGTCGATCTCATAAGCTATAAGAGCTAGAAACTTGAAGTACGAGTTTATTTGCGAACATCGATAACTCGCCCCATTTCCCAGCAATCGATAAGAATCGATATCGAAACCATGATTTTTTAGCGAGCTGCATTAGGTGTTGGTAGAAAGAGGTTCAGGCTATTCCCAATTTATTAATTAATTTATTGCTAGTTTTTTAATCGATATTATATTGAATTCAGCTAATTTTGTATTTAAGGGACAATTACGGAAAAATTTACCTCAAGGAAACAACAAAACAGCCTAAGTGTTAGTTAATTTCCAGGATTATTTCCAGTGCTGGAAAACATCATCGAGCCAGGAGCACCGCACACTTTAGCCGAAATGTAAATGATGATCGCAATCTATTCTTTTTCTTGATGTCTATCTGCTGCTTTGATATTCTTGATGTCTATCTGCTGTTTTAATCATTTTTTATATGTACAGATCAGCTTGCTCATCAGTCAGAGTAAACTATATAAATACTAGTCAGTACTTTGCAGTCGGGGGCAACCAGCTGGGCAATTATCTGTTGTCAGTGTAATAACAGCTGAAATACTAATTTATTAAATGAGGCAATTAATTTGTTTCATATATATTTTCCCGCTCATGAAGCAGGGAAAAATTGACAAATACAAACGATTCACGGCAAATATGAATGTCGTATATTGTCAATTGTTAATGTGCAATGTTTTATTTATAAATAATTATACGCCCTTAATGACTGTGCCTGAATGGTTACTTCAAAGCAAGTTTGTAATCGTACGTAAACAAAATATTAAACGTACTTATAAAACAATTTCGAATAATATGTGACTGACGACGAATTGCAATATATGAGGCGAGAAGTTGAGGCTTTTGGGTTTATGTCAATGACAACTTATCTAATGTACAATATTGTTATCTGCCACACAGAGCCCTTTTGCTCGTTCAAGTCAATCGCGCGTTTTGTCTATAGATAATTGGCATATCAGTTTGGCAATGACGCCTAGGAAGTTGTTACAACGCCCCCATATACTGCATATGTACATACCCACATACTATATGCACATAATGATATGCATGTTTATTGTTGAAAGGTCATCGCTGTGTGCTTCGATCAGATGTTAGGTGTTGTCAATTTAGTTAGTTTTGGTGGTGTAAATAACAACATATACGCAAAATAACAATTGCAACCAAAGAAATCACAGCTGAACGTGTTGTGTTAAACAAAACTATGTACTGCATACATATACATATGTACATAACACTATATATTATTATATATGGATATTCACTTGTGCATAAATAGTTTCTATGCATTTGCAGTATTAATAAGAACACGCGCGTCACGACTTATTTCAATACTTATATGTATATACACATATTTACGCACTTAAGAAACATTATTTGTATATTTCAACTGTGCACCGGGTTTATTTTTACGCAGCAGAGAAGAAGAAGAACCAAACTCATATAAATAACATAAGAGCGGCCATAACATTAACATAGCATCTGTTTTTAACAGTGGGTAAGAACACATTGACTCCCGAACTCAACAAATATAATTAACAGATTATTTACTGAAAACGATTCGAAGCAACATTTTATAACTAAAGCTTAAGGAGAAGACTATTAAAAACCATGACAACTTGTAAGAAATACGGCGGCTTTGTTTCAAATTCTTAACAGTGATCTAGTAGTTCCAGTCTAACATGACTAGTTAGAGAAATATCGATAACACAATTAATAACAGAAAATCAGCACAGCTGTTGCATTATAAATGCAGAATATACTTTGTTAAATATTAATTATATTGTTAATTTAATACTTTAAGCTAATTAATAGAATAGTGTGCCAAAGACATTTCAAAAGCGAAAGCTACCGATCGGCAAGCTAGTTCAAAAGAACATATTAAAAGAGCAATCAGCGAAGTATTTAATCATTTATCGATCCGTATTTTTTAACTGTTGATATATTTAAAAACGTAAGACGAATAATAATGTATACTTAGCATTTTTCTTAATCCAATCTTCGATGACACTTTTAGACTACATATATCATGCTGAAAAAACAACATAGAACCAAGGTCACATTCGCCCATGATAACTATTTAAGTACGTATCTACGAGCGTGGGTTTGAAATAAAGCAACAGGCAAAAGCAAATGAGAATCGCGGTTACCAGCGATTAGCAATAAGCGTCGTCTACCCCAAATAAAATTGAAACCCTCTTGCAGCGCTGCGCCAATTGTTATGAGGGTGTAACACTTAGTGGCATTTATGTGTACATATATGCACATACATATATACATAAGTATGTATTTCATAAGAGCGGCCATTTAAGTGCAGCTTAATGAAAGAAACGTATACAATATGCACCAGCAAACAGACAAGACGGTATTCCGTTTCCTAACAGCCCAATATATATTCTATATATATAAAAATGCATGTTCTGACTGACTGACTGATTAGTAAGAGCTAGAAAGTTTAAATTTACTGAACGATTGGGAAATCCGATCGATCTGAAAACCATTTTCATAGATCTTTGTTTAAGTGAATTTAAGCGAAATCCATTCAAGCATTTGATGGGAGATCTTTCGACTTAAAAATCAGGTGTAAGCTTCTTTCTGCCTTTTCTCTGGGTCTTTAATTAATATCATTAATATTTATATTTTTAGCCCTTTGTGTGGAAACGCGTGCTCAATTCGTATGGGCATATTTACAATTATCTACGAGCAAGGCTAAAAAAAAAAAGATAGATTAAGGTAAAATAGTCAGATAAAGTCCTGATAGTATGCTGATAAGCCCTTTGCACTATATATACACGGGCGTACGAACGGAAAGTGAGGCTAGCCGTGACATTTATCAAGTAGGAAATGCCAATGGAAAATCAATATATTGGTTGGTGAGTGGAGTAAGGAAGGGTAAGTCAATAATAGCCTTGATGCTTGACAGAATAAATGATGTATTCAACAAGAGCCTAGTTCTAGCGCCCCATGGGGAAAAAACTTACCTGACAGTTCCGATACGTCTAGACAGCTGGATCGGCTTTTGGTTCTTTGCAGCAAACGTTGCAGGGGCTGCTGTCGTTGAGGACTGCCATTGGACTGTCCATCGGAGCCGCTAACCCAGTCGGTATCGATGGCCTTGGATGCACTACGTTTAAAATGCTCCAAAAAGTGATCAATTTGCTTTTCTATGGAACTGGACGGCGAATTTTCCATTTTAGCTTTTACATTTTTACATACGCAAATTAAGGCCTGAAATTTTTGGTGCACTTTAACAAGAAATAAAATTCTATTCGATTTTTGGCACTTATCAAATGGAGGACGATACACAATTAACAAGATTGTAAGTACATAATATTTTTCTTATGCCTTGCGTTTATTTTAATCGAACTTGACACAACAAAATAATATATTTTTTTTATCTCTACACTAATATTTGCTGCGTTTTGTATCGGGTCCTTTCAGATGACTCAACCTTAACCGCTCTTCCGCATCGCTCAACCAAGACTGAGAGCACGGCGTGGGTAGCTGTTGCCACAGCCACAGATTAACTGAGCGAACGGGTGTCTCTGAGGATATACCCAGAAGTTGGCTGTGGATGAGAACGCGACCATGACGCCGCCACGACTGGGAGAGCCGGCAAAATTCTCGTTTTTATTTGTGCTTCCTCTGTTGACCTCTCAGTGACGCTGAAAGCTTTGGTTGGCACGTGTTGTTTGTGAATTAAAATCTCTGTCATGCGCACTAATGCAGCACTTACAGGTTAATACGTACATGCATACATATTTACGTAAATGTTCATATGCTTATTTTGCGATATCAGCTGTTCGTATCCCTTTAAATTAAGCACTGGGGTATGCCTACTCACCCTCTGATAATAAAAGCCGTATAGCTATTATGGATGCTTTCATTTTTAGAGCAAACCTTATTTAATAATTATTTAAGTTTAATTAGGCAATTCCATCTTGGGACCATTGCTGTTGAATATACATTTATTATTGTGACTGCCAGAAAATTATTAGCTCAAACGTATAATAAAAATAATTGTTTTATGCAAACAAAATTAATCACACATTGGCTTAAGTCGCACATGCACAATAAAATGAATTGTTCTCAGAATTCGTTACTTTTAAGTTTAAAAATAAGAACTAACGGTTTATTTGGGTTTTTTGAATTTGAAAAGTTTCAGTAGAGCTTGTGTGATATTCGATTGACAACCGAGTCGATAGATTTAATAACGAATAAGAATCTATTTCAGTAGTTCGATAAAATGAACCAATGAACGATACTAAACTGGGCCGATACAACTCTACAATCAATCCATAAACAAAAAAATTTTGTGTATAAAATTAAAATAGACGCGGAAGTAAATAAAACAATAAATGCGCAGCTCTTAACATTAGCCAATTACAAATTGTCAACTTCCTCTGGATTATGGGATATTAGGATCCTGTAAATCGAGTAAGTTGTTTGGAATGACACATTTTTAATACTTGTATGTATGTATACATGTGTGTATGTAGATGATTGAATATATATCGTGTATACATATGTATGCATGTACTTGAACATATGTGCATAAAAAATGTACTTCTGAACATAGTATATGCAAGCAAATGTACATATGTACATATAGATATGCAAGTGGAAATGATTTAGGCTCAAATCCAAATTAAAAGACTTTTTTTTAATTATTTATAAACATTTTCATCGAAAGTTTGTGTCTCATACAAATCAATCTTTTGTTGTAGTAAGAAAGAAAACCAACAACGCATTTAATCAATGTTCTCCAACGGGCTGCCGTGCAACCTGTCTTTTCCGAGCTGCCTAAGTGTCCCGAAAGATGGTAATGAGGAGCTCTTGCCATCCAATATGGGCACAAGAGAACCAGTTATTCTTAACGTATATGACATGGTAAGGAGCAACATGGATTTATGGGATTGACATATTTGCTTACCTATTTTATATTGTTCGCAGTATTGGATTAACGAGTATACCACATCGATTGGTCTTGGCGTATTCCATTCCGGCGTAGAAGCATTCGGCACGGAGTTTGCGTACGGCGGCCATCCATTTCCGTTTACTGGCGTTTTTGAAATATCTCCACGCGACCACGACGAGCTGGGTGAACAATTTCAATTCCGACAGAGTATACAAATCGGCTGTACCGACTTTACCTATGAGGAAGTTCGTCGCCTTGTCGAGGAATTGGGCAATCAATTTCGCGGAGATCGTTATCACCTTATGAACAATAATTGTAATCACTTTTCGGGCAACTTGACACAGGTATGCGTATACGTGACTCAAAACCCTCTAATGATCGTTGCGATAACAGCTTTTATTATTGGCATCTTCAATAGATACTTTGCGGCCAAGAAATACCTAGTTGGGTGAACCGTCTTGCACATTTCAGCTCCTGTGTGCCATTTTTACAAAGATGCCTACCAAAGTGAGTTGGCTGAAAGAGATATATGCAATATAAATATGCGATATTCGTCTATTTTAGAGAGTGGCTAACACCGAATGCCTTGCAGCAAAGTATAACTACAATCCAAGAGCGCGAAGACTCGGACAATAGTCCCCTTTGAGACATTACCTGATCTTAAAATATTCGTAACTTGCAAAGTCCCAAGCGAGCGCAACTCATCCCTGCTGTCTTAAGACCAACAATATTGTTAAGTTAAATTGAGGAAAGCCGGGTTATCTATCGACACTCATTTCATTAAAGCCAAGATAAAAATTTCCAATAGATTGCAAAAGTAATAATGTTAATAGGTTTATATTAGGCTACATTAAAAGCGAATAAATTATTGGCTATTGTAACTTGTAATTTGACTATTGAGAATTAAGATATTATTAAGTGGCCGATAGGTATAAGTGAGTAGAAGGCAGCAGCAGCAGCAAACAGTACACTTTCTGCGACATCATTTATAGAATTTTGAATTTAATATTAAACATCGAGAAAAACCATTTCTAAGAAAATGCTAAAATGTATTAACAAACAAGCATATTATATGTAGTTATTGATATCAAAGTTGTCATCAATAGTTAATTTATAAACATTTTTTTTTTAAATTCATTTTTACAATGTCGAAAGCCGCATGTCTATCAAAACACCAAAACGATCTGTTATCAATAAATATGTACTTGACATTCTGATATTTACACACACATTAATACTATTATTATATTAAAAGATTTTTAAAGAAAATATATTTTAATTCAATAATAACACAATACGTAGTTATTCATAGTCGTACGCTTAAGTGAAAATACAAAAAATTACAGAATAAGTTCATACATGCATACACATGTATATTTTCAGACAAATAGTGCCAAACAAATGCTGCGAATTATGAAATTTTACTGCTAATGTTGCTACTTTGCGGCCAAACGTCCAGAATATGATTTGACAAATAACTGGTATAGTGCAACATAAACAGGATAACATATAAATACATATAAATAATTATGATAAATACATTGTGACAACTATTTACAAAATGGTCGCTACAAAATCTGCACAGTTAATTGTCGTTTCTTAAATTTAACTCAAACTAGGCTGGAAACATTATTGTATAAGCCAACAGATGCGATTTCATCCACGTCAATATCGACGTCACCGTTTAAGACATTATGCGGCAGCTGATTTCGGAACATCATGGAATGCGATCTAATAGAGCTGACATTTTGAACCAGATTTCCTTGCAGATATTGAAGCTGATTGTTGTCAACCACATTGGGAGCTTGGAGAGTACATTGGTATTCTTTATGCAATGGCTCATGATCATGTGATTGAATACGGAGAGTTAGAGATGAGCTAGGTGCGTCAAACTCTTGCTGTCCCGTATAGCCCCCAGCGAACATAGCATTTCCTATATCTCCGGCGTACGTTTGTTGTGTTCTTTGCATATTTTGTGACCGATGCGGAAGATCGTGAAAATATGCATCTTTGGGTATTTGCCTTTCAGCTACGCCAAACTGACGGGGTTTCCTCATGTGCGCTGTGTACAGAGAGGAGGGATTTTGCAATGGAAGCTGAGGAGCGCCTCCATGGGTGGAAATACTGTATAAGCTGTTATTCAAATGCGGGGTCATTATATTTGAATGCTGCGAATCTGTGCTTAAGGTCACATCATTGTCGAACTGAACAGTCGAATCTATTTTATCCTGCAGCTGTGCTACCATGTCTTTGACTTGGCCTGTATTTGATTTCTTTAGGTACTTTATCTCACTGTTCTTAATTTCAACCTTTCCAACAGCATCATTGGAGCTTTGCCTTATAGGTAGCCCGCTTGGGTGATCTGCAATGTCTCCTTCAGCAAAACTGATGGGATTCGAATTAAATGGAGTTGGGTTGGCTAAGTAGTTATCCTCTAAGCATAGTGGTTGTCGTTTCATTAAATTGGATATCGATTTTGAGCAACCTATTCGGGACTGTCGCGCATGAAACACAGCATCTGTGCTACAAGACGGTGACGGAGTTTCGTGGGCTTGCTCCTTATAAAGTAACTTGTCTCCACATATTCTGTCCGCATTCTGGTTGAAAGCCACATCGTCCTTTCTATTATCCGTGAAAACGCCATCCTTGCGAAGTGCCTTAATAACCGTATTCAACATGTTTTCACCTCTACCAATGCAATGATAGTACTTTTGGCCGCCTGGAGGCGTGGTTTCAAACTCCCAACTGTTCGAGTTCTGAGAGGGATTCGAGGTTTCACTAGAGTTGGGATACCGTCGCTGCACATTCGTATATTCATCATAGCTCGGACTGTTGCCATTCTCTTTATTTTCTAGCAGGAGACACGGATTCTCTGGGCTATACATGGATGGATTGCTTTGTTCCGGTGAAAGAGAGCAGAGCTGCCGTTTACTATCTTGTTCATTATCTCTCTCCATGATAAGAGTTGTTTTCTCCAACAAATCTCCAAGTCGCTCTGATACCTTAAGGAAATCCTGTTTTAATTCATCCAGTTTCGATTGCTTAAGTTCCTCCTGAGCTGCCGAAACGGCTGAGGCCATGACATCATTGCAATTTTCCGGTATTCCAGTACTTGAGTTGGAACGAGAATCGCTCTCAACTGGCACATCGTTCGAATGGGGATGGTAGACAACATCAACAACAGTTTGATTTTCCTTTTCTAAAATGTCCACACTCTTAGAATTGGACATTTTGCCGTTTTCAAAATTGCTTTCAAGCAAATCCAAGCTTCGGCATCGAGACAATGTCCGTTCGACTCTTTGACTTTTGGCTGGATTGTCAAATGTGGAGCGAAATGGTTCCCCACGCCGGAGATATTCGTTCAGGTATTGCCTCTTGCTCTCACAACGAATCCGATCCTCGATCATCGTTCGGGTCAGCTGCTCGATTTGGTCATTTGTTTTTATCGCCAGCGCTTGGACCTTGTGGCCCAGTCGTTCCTTTGTTTTGTGCACATACTTCTTTAGACTTTTCCGATTACAGTTCAATTTATTTTCTATATGCCGGAAGAATGGGCCGCAATAGCATGTGTTACCAACACTCACTGGACCCTTGTGTATGTGACCGGCGAGATCAAGAAAATATTGCTCGCCTTGCTTTAGCGGTTCTTTGGGTAGGGTCTCCAGTTTGGGCGATGGAAAGGAACGAGGATCGGGAAAGTAGTGGCAGCCATAGGGAGACCAATTGATCGCATTATCTGCACTATCTTTATCTTTATCCTGAGCTGGCACCGATTTCTCATGTTCCTTTGGCTTTTCCTTACGGTTACGTATACGCTTTGGAGTGCTCAGTATTTCATTGATTTCGCGGTAATTCTTTCTGATCGCAATGCTTTGCGGCGTGTCGCCTTGTGCGTTCTTCACATTCAAACGTGCATCTGCCTCCAGCAAAATGCGCGTCAGCTTCCGGCGGCCCATGGCGCAAGTGATGTGCAACGCAGTGTCCCCATTCAGGTTAGTCTTGTTGGGGTCACACAATGCCGAAAGAAGGATACGCGTAACGCCTGCATGGCCATAACGGCATGCAGTATGTAGCGCAGTATCGCCGTACTGAAATAAACGTGGAATGCCGATTATTAGTTATGGTATGAAGAATATGGAATATGTAAATACATCTTACCTTGTTCTGAACATCGGGATCCGCCCCGGCCATCAACAATTCCCTAGAACTTTGATTGTGGCCATTTTGCGCTGCCAAATGAAGCGCCGAGAGACCCTCGTTATTAATAATGTTCAGCGTGCTATTGTGCAGAGCCTCGATCGTGTTTGCCACCCTCGCCTTCAGTCTGCTCTTCTCCTTCTGATGCGGCTTTGTGGGTGGGGGAGCACAGAGTAACTTTACGCAGCGACTAAGCCCACGGCTGGCTGCTTCATGCAAGGCTGTGTTGCCCTGGCTAGACTCTCTGGCCAGGCGATCAGCACTGCTGGACAGCAATATTTGGACACGCTTGTCGTCTCCTGCCGCAACGGCTTCGTGCAATGCCGTCCAGTTTCTGGAGTCATGCTGAAATGAATGAATATTAGGAAATATGCTATGCACCGATACGATTTCTTTTTGGACAAACCCCGGAAATGGCATTCGGCAGGGCTTCCTGTTTCAGATTGTGATCCATACTGCATTGTCTAAAAGCAAATTCGGAAATAAAGTTTGTTTCAATTGTTTAATCGACTAAAAAACAAGTCAACAATACACTTAACCATGTGTGTGTGTGTGTGTGTAAGTACAATGCCCATAAAAATACGTTGCAGTTTTGGTGTACTTGAATACACACATGCATGCATACATACATACCAACACACATATCATTACACGCATTAACATTTTTAGACACTTTTAGGATTTTTTACCATTTCTTTTTCTTATTTTGCAATGTTTATGGTTGAATTAAATTCTTTTTGTTAATTTAAGGCACGTTTCACAAATACAACAATATTTTGCCAATCGAAGTCAACCGCTTTGCAGCGAATTTAAGCACTGCCCAGACTTACAACTTAAGCTGCTGTTAATACCGTTATACGTTAGATTTCTCGTTTTTTAGCATGTTTCACCTTATGATTTATTAAAAATAATCAACAACTTGCGTTATATTTTGCTTACATTTTGTAAACGCCCAGAGATAATTTGGCTTTAAGCCAGGCCTAAAGGAAAATAGAAGAGAAAATTGAGGCGAATTGCAAAATTGGCAACAGGTTTGTTCATGGTTGTCACCTACTCGCATATCGAAGACTTATCGCCAGTCTACGTGATATCGAAAGTATCGATCATGTCGTTCTTGATATGTATAAAAATTTTGTTAAAAGCACTTTAAGCTCTTTGGCCGGTTCTCAATTTTTTTTTAAGTAAAATTGCTTTGATCACATTTTTTTTGCTGCACAACTGGGAGACGCGTAACGGACTCTTTTTCAAGAACAACTGAGTGACCACTGTTAATAACATTATGTAAATGTTAAAGTAATTTGGGTGCCCATAACTGTGTGTATCGCAGTGTTGGGTAATTTCCATTAATTTTTGTCATCTCATCACAAAATAATTTTCAATTCCCGTGTCGGCAAACTAAAGGAAAGATATAATAAATACAATGGCTTTAGCAGAAATTTGTAAAATTTCCAATGCTTCATATATGAAGCCAGCTGCCTGGACTTCAACGGAAGTGGAGAACGAGCTAAACGCATTCACCAGTAATATTGCAAATCCATATACATTGGCGGCGCCTCCGTTTGAGAATGTAAGCGGAATTTTATAATATATATCCATATTAATATAAATAAGTAAACGTTTTAATATTCTTCCGCAGCCCCTTGAAAATTTGAACAAAATCCAAGCAAACGCTAGTAACAGTGGCGTTAAGATAAACTTTGATCACGGCACCACAACTCTGGGTTTCAAGTACCAAGGCGGCGTCATATTAGCCGTGGATTCGCGTGCAACCGGAGGTCAATACATTGGCTCGCAGTCAATGAAGAAAATTGTCGAAATCAACCAGTTCTTGCTTGGAACATTGGCCGGCGGTGCTGCTGACTGTGTCTATTGGGACCGCGTGCTGGCAAAGGAATGTCGCCTACACGAGTTGCGAAACAAGGAGCGCATCTCGGTGGCTGCGGCCAGCAAGATCATGGCAAATATCGCTCACGAGTACAAGGGCATGGGCCTAAGCATGGGCATGATGTTAGCCGGTTATGACAAGCGCGGTCCAGGACTGTACTACGTGGACTCGGAAGGATCACGCACTCCCGGCAACGTGTTTTCGGTTGGCAGCGGTTCAATTTATGCTTTCGGAGTCCTCGACTCAGGCTACCACTGGGACTTGAAGGACACTGAAGCACAGGAGCTGGGTCGCCGCGCCATTTACCATGCCACATTCCGTGATGCTTATTCGGGCGGAATTGTTCGCGTGTACCACATGACTCCAAATGGCTGGATCAAAATTTCAGAAACAGACTGCATGGAGCTGCACTACAAATACAAGGAGCAGAACAAAGCAAAATAATACCTTATATTAACAATTGCACAGCAACAAATTATGAAGATACAAAAACATTAAAAATGCTAAATGAATAAAAATGTGTGTTTGGTTTGGCTTAATAGTTTATTTGTTCTTAATTTTTGCCAAGCTGGGACAGATCTTCCTTCGGTTGATCGGCCTTCCTCTGACTTTTGATACTCTCCAAAGTTTCCTTGTGTCGCTCTTCTGCGCGCTTTTGCTTGAAGGTGCGCTTGGCATTGGTTTTGGCCCTCCTAGCGGGCTTGCGGTGCAGCTGCGCCAGCTCATGTCCAATATCCAGATCGGGCGGTAAATGCAGCAGACGAATCATACGATTGCGTATCATGAAGTGATCGAACGCATGGTACTGACCATTACGATCTATAAAAACCGCGTCTGTCAGCTCGCATGTCATATGGCCATCAGCGATACTTATAATCCCTGCCACGGATGTCTCATTTCGTAGATCTATGAGCACGGCACGTCCTTGCAGTATTACGGGCAAACAGTTTAATGTGTTTGAAATCAAATACTTTTCACGTGCGCTAAAATTGTGCATTATATCTATTGTCTGTATAGAACACCATAATACCTCCAACAATAGGGTTTTTAATATGCCTATATGCTTTTTTTTTGAAATGCAGAACTAACTAAACAAACTTGTATGAAGAGGGACCAATAAATGCCATTATTTGAAGATGTATTTTTTAGTTTACGAGCTGGTATTTAATACCAACAGCGCGGTATTTTTCGCCAATAGCTGGAAGGCCATATAACTGCATATCATACGTTTGTAAACTTGAAATAAGTTGGCGTTTAGATATATGTACATAGACATGTTTAGATAGCTTTTTTTTTTTCGTAGGTACAAATGCCACTAAGAGCTAGGTTTGACATTTTAGTCAAATTGTATGCCTTAAAATTAGGTTTAGATTGCCGTGCCGCGCTCCAGATTTTGCTTAATTTCAGCCGTGTGCTCGCCGTAGAAACGATCCAATTTCTTGTTGAATTTGGAGTTGCGTTCGTTTATGAAGTCGACATCGGCGTCATCGTTATAGATTCGTCGTCTGGAATACTTCTTTCTGCGATCAATTTGCTGCTCCAAATCCTTAACCATATTGTTAATAGCACTAGGCGTGTCCTTGGTAAGCAAATGAAGCGTCGTGTTTGGGCCGCCGTAAAAGGCCTCACCCAGTTCAGCTTTCTGTTTTTCATACTTGGCCATGTCGCGAACTGGCATATTCTTGACCAGGCGATTATATTGCCTGGCTGTTTGCGCCTCGTATGTGGAGAAGCCCAAATCGGGATTATCTTTGCGTTTCTTCTTTTTCTCTATTCGTTCCGCATCGATGGCGGACACCTTGAGCAGCTGCAGGCGCTCATAATCTTTGCCAGCAGCCTCTGCATCTGCGCGTGCCTTGTCATCTGCTAGCAACCATTCTGCTTGTCGCTTACGAGCCTCCCAGTTGCTGGGCAAGTTTTTGCGAGCGTCTTCTGCGACGACTTCTTGGTGGTTTTGTGTGCGCGCCTCCTGGCGTTGTTTGTGCAGCTCGAGCAAACGTGCCTTGCGTTCGGCCAACTTATCCGAAGCGGATTTACTCGTTTCCATTGTTTAGTTACGAGTATTTTGTATGTATTTATTATTTTCTTTTGTTTTGTAAATTGTGTCTTGTTCTTCCGTTCGTAAAATTAAAGTGTAAGTGAGACAGGTTGGCAGCACTGTACTTAACAGCTGTAATTTTTAATAGTAGCATTACTTTTGCTAAAAATACTAAATCTTCACAATGCCGATTTTAGTAATTTTGGTATTATTATTATATTGCATGTTTGGTATTTTAGCGTCGCACTGCCTAACACGTGCAGTGCTTTTGTTTATAATTACCGCTTCAGCGCTTTATTTTAAAATATTAAGTTATATAGTAAAGCTGCGATATGAAATTTTCTTACAAAGTGAATATATATGCGATGAGCAATACAACACTTGATCGGCATAACAAATTATTTGATTTATTTGCAGTTTTCGAATTTGTTGGGCACAATTTATCGCAATGGAAACTTGGTCTTCACACCAGATGGCAATTCGGTTATTAGTCCAGTGGGTAACCGGATAACCGTATACGATCTCAAGAAGTATGTTACACAACCTCCCACATTTCTTTTCCCAGTCTAAAACGTATCTCTCTTGTTTCATTGTTAGCAACAAGTCGCGCACGCTGGCCCTGGAGTCCCGGTACAATTACACAAACATAGCCCTCTCGCCGGATGGCAGCTTGCTGATCGCTGTCAATGAGCAGGGCGATGCGCATTTAATCAGTATGGTCTCATGTACGGTTATACATCGGCATAAATTCCAAACGGGAGTGCAGTGCATCAACTTTAGTCCTGACGGTGCTTATTTTGCCGTTGCAAGAGAGAATCTAGTGCTAATTTTTTGTGCTCCTGGTGAAATTACTGGCGAGTACAATCCATTTGTGCTTAAACGCAGTTTCCTTGGTGGCTACGATGACGTCACGTGGATGGATTGGTCCTCAGACTCTAAGCTACTGGCCATAGGCTCCCGTGATAGCTCCACTAAAATATGCGCTGTCAATTACATGCAAAACTTTCGCACTTACAACCTCAGCGGCCACACGGATGCCATAGTCTCATGCTTTTTCGAATTAAATAGCTTGCACTTGAACACTCTGAGCCGGAATGGACAACTCTGCCTGTGGGAATGTAGCATGGAGCCATCGGATTTGATTGAAGCTGATAAACCAGAAGCGGCACCGCCAGCACGAAAGCGTAAGGTGCCTAATGCGTTTAAAGGATCCGACAGCGAGTCCGAGGATGATATTGAAAACAATGTAGAAAAGCAAACAGTAAAGCAGGACTTGGAAGCTGATCAAAACGAAGTGAAAGATGGAATCGTTGGAAAAACACATCCGTTCTTCTACAAAAAGCTAGGACGGCACTACTTGGCCAACGAGCCACGCAAGGAGAAGCGCGATGCCATGTTAACCGCGGCCAACTATAATCGACGAACTAAGGTTTTGGTTGTAGCCTTTAGCACAGGCGCCTTCTATTTGTACGAGCTGCCCGACGTAAATATGATACACTCGCTGAGCATATCCGAATATCCCATTTCGGCGGCCGTCTTTAACTGCACAGGCGATTGGGTTGCGCTGGCGTCGCGCGAAATAGGACAGCTTCTGGTGTGGGAATGGCAGAGCGAGCAATACATTATGAAGCAGCAGGGCCATAGCAGTGAAATGTCCTGCATCGCCTACTCTCCAGACGGCCAGTATATCGCCACTGGCGGCGAGGACTCCAAAGTGAAGCTGTGGAACACACAGAGCAGCTTCTGCTTTGTGACGTTCAGTGAGCACACGAGTGGCGTAACCGCTGTACAGTTCAGCCGCAATAAAAAGTTCCTGGTTAGCAGTTCTCTGGACGGCACAGTGCGTGCTTTTGACATAATAAGGTCTGATTTGTCCTTACTAAATGCATATAAATTCCATCTTACACATTGTTCCCTTCTGTATGCAGGTATCGTAACTTTAGAACATTTACGTCGCCGACTCCCGCACAGTTCGCATGCGTGGCAGTGGACTACTCTGGAGAGTTGGTCGTTGCAGGAGGCCAAGATGTGTTCGAGATATATTTGTGGTCCATCAAGACGGGAAAACTGCTGGAAGTTATCAGTGGTCATGAGGGGCCTGTGGCTTCCATTGCCTTTTCGCCAGTCGCAACGTCTTCGACGCTCATTTCTGGCTCTTGGGACAAAACGGTCAAGATTTGGAATTGCCTGGAGAGCAACAGCGAGCACGAGACAATCGATGCGCTTTCCGACGTGACCTGCGTTGCCTTCAGTCCGAGTGGTGAAGAGGTAAATGCAAATGAAACCTTTATTTTCAATAATATGTGTTATTAAAATATGATTTCTTTGAATCCTTACCCAGGTGGCAGTCGCTACACTTGTTGGCAACATAATAATCTTCGATGTGAAATCTGCAACCCAAGTGAGCACAATTGAGGGACGCAATGATCTAAGCAGCGGCCGATTGGAAACTGATATTGTAACTGCCAAAAAAAATGCAGAGTCGAAGTAAGTAAAATTGGCGTGCTATGGTATTTACCCCCTACAACCATTTTGATCAATCTTTTCTCCATCTGTTAACGTATGCCTTTTTTTTTTTTAGCTACTTCTCAACAATAGAGTATTCGGCGGATGGGGAATGTATTCTGGCTGCGGGTAAATCCGCCAATATTTGTATATATCATGTGCGTGAGGCTATGTTGCTCAAGAAGTTCGAAATAACTCAGAACCACAGCTTAGACGGTTTAAATGTGAGTGAAATATGCCATGGTTACCTTTGGTAAGCTCACTTACTTTTAATTTGCAGGAGTTCATCAGCCGGAAGCATCTCAGCGAGTTTGGCAACATGGCGTTGGTTGAACAGCGCGAGGAACTAGAGGGAGGCAAAGTGGCGATTCGTTTGCCTGGAGTCCGGAAAGGTGATATGTCCGCACGACGTTTTCAGCCAGAAGTGAGGGTTTTCTCTGTCCGCTTCTCCCCCACGGGGCAAGCGTTTGCCGCCGCAGGCACCGAAGGACTTTGCATATATGCACTAGACAAGGGTGAGCAGCTCGTCAGACATATACTATACAATCCGATTTCCTTAAATTATTTATTATATTTCTCAGGTGTGGTTTTCGATCCGTTTAATTTGACGTTGGAAGTGACACCTAAAGCGACACACGAGGCGCTAAAGAACAAGGAGTTCACAAAGGCGCTCGTTATGTCCTTGAAACTGAATGAGCCCAATTTGGTGACCTTAGTGCTAGAGCGCGTGCCGCATAGGGACAGTAAGTACTCGTAAATTACATGAATACTGGAATGTTAAAAGTTCCTTATGCAGTTCAACCTTGCAAGCAGAGTCAGCCTAAAAGCCGTCGTTGGCTTTTTTGTAATTTCTCTAATCGATAGGCATTTTGCCGTTTTTCGCATGTCTTAAAATAGATGGGAGTTGGATTTACCCTTACATTCAAGGCGCTTATTACCCAACTCCGTTTGGATCGAATGTGCAAATTTTTGTTTTGCTGTTAATAAACAGTTTCAAGGTTCATTTTGCTTTCGCATGGCCGGTTAGGGTTTGACAGGGGGAACAATTCGTAGGTACATTGTTAATAAGCCCCTCTCGGGCACTTACTGGTCCCACAAACCAAATTGAAACATGCATACAAAAAAGATGTAAATTGATTGTTATTGGATTGCTGCACGTGTCTGCATATATTGAAAAATGCAAATGTATTTTTTTCTTTCCAGTTGAGCTTATTTGCGCGGATCTATCCCCCGACTACGCCCAGCGTTTACTGCAACAGCTCGCGCGCCTTTTGCAGTCCTCGCCCCACATTGAGTTCTATTTGCAGTGGTCCTGTTGCTTGCTGACTACCCATGGCTATCGCGACGGCGTCTTTCAGCATACAGCTTTGCTAGCGCTACACGAGAGTATTTCCCGAAAATATGAAATGCTTAACAAAATGTAAGTTCTGCTTCTTAAAATGGGTACTCATTAATGGGAATCTAAACTTATAACGAATTTTCAGATGCGACTACAACAAATACACGATTCGGGTGCTCCTGGAGAGGTCGGAGAATCTGAAAGCCCGCGAAGATCACGCCGAAGCAACCAATGACGACAGTGATAATGAAATGTTGTTGATAAGGCGTCCTGGGGATAAAGATTTGGAATGCCAGTTTAGCGAAGGGAGCGAAGAAGATAGCGACGGGCCGGATTCGGAGGACAACGACGATTCGTAATGTACAGTTCATAGTGTTGTTGTTATATAGACCCTACGGATACACATATTATTAAATATATATTATTAAATGTAATTTTTATTTTGAACTATTGTGTTTATTATTATCAGCCTGTAAAGCTCAGTTAATGGATTTGATTAGAATCAATTTGGTTTATTTATTTATTTTTACATGCATATTTGAATACTTCTTTTATTGTTTTTCGATATGTTCAAAGCTTTGAGGATAAAATGATTAGAGCATAAGAAACATTTTCCATTCCTCGTATGAAAAAAGAAAGCTCGTGAAATACAAAACTTAACCGATGGAAATTTATGTACACACATTGTAGCTACAATAAATAAGTTTTCCTTTGTGTTTGTTATATAATTTGAATATTTGAATTGTTCTATATTTACACAATGTTTTGCTATACAAAATATAATCTTTACCTTTATACCTTATGAATTATCTTTAACATACGTACGTATTCCTAGCTTTTTTTGAGTGCTCTGTTTTTACTACAGGTAAATATATAAAATATATAAAGCCACAGCTCAAAATCTTTGCATTTTCTTAATGCCGTTTGCTTCAAAAAATGCGCTAAATTGATTATTTGTCTTATTGGTGTGTAAAAAGTCCTAAATAGCATTTTTTACTACTTATTTACATTCCAAGTGTGTATGAATATGTCTTGATCCTTAGAGGGTTTGTAAATTTTATTATCTCTTTAAAGCACCAATTATTTTTCTGGCATATTTACTTAAGCTTAAAAAATATATATATGTATATAAAAATACATATATATTTTTTGTAATAACTAACAATAAATAAAAACGAAATGATAAGAGTAAAATAAACCCATCACACAATTAAGGGTAAAAAAAGGTTTTTATATTAAAAGTGTGTACTATGCGCAAAGCGAATAA